TGCTCTGACATGTGAGCTGTTTTTCCCGGACGGGGCCGCCTGTGGAGCTGATTTACAGTTGCCTTTTTTATCTCTGCTTTTTTTTTGCATATCTTAATGCAATTAACTGTCTTTCCTTAAATAGAAAACTAACCAATCTGTATGATCTGGTTGAATTGTCTCTGTAATGTGCCTTAAGATGACACGTGTTGATAATTAGCATTATATAAATAAACTGAATAGAACAGGTGTCTTCTAAACAGGGGTTCACCAAAAGGTTAACAACATATACATTTTAAATATCAAAAAATTAAATTATAAAATTAAAAATTCAGTAATTGAATGTCTCATTAAGTAATAAAACTTTTTCAATGATGAATCAAATAAAATGTCACAAAAAAAAGAACATAATTACTGTATATGTATAAATAAATATAGAGTACTGTAGCTAAGAATCTATTTTTAGGGGGTCATCGGTCTGTCACCTTATTTTTGGGGTCACAGGCCAAAACTTTTGGGAACGGATGTTCTAGAAAGACATTTGGTGAAAAAGCCTCATTAAATCTTAGCTGTGTTCATTTTAAGATTCCCTGCTGTAGGGATGTCTGGTCCGATACTGATGATTATTGGTTACATCAAATTCTCCCATAAGCTGACAGATGCACTCTGCTCCTTCCTTTCAAACTAGAGGTGCTTCTATAAAACACTCAGGGCCAACATGATCACAGCATCTTCTGCTAACAGAGTAGCTGAGGCTATGCTACAGCAGTAGGAGCTATGTCTGCAATGTGGCCGTACGCTTGGTTAATGTCCATAGAAAACCTCTTTCTCATCTTCTAATGACCATTTCTACCTTAAACTTTATGTTACTCATCAGTTCATAATAGATGAATCAGTTCTATTTTCATTTGTTCTTGATTTTTGTTCCCTGTTTGATTTAAATTACTTGACATTCAAAACCACTGAATAAAAGTATGCAGCATTTAAACTGACATTGGTGAATATTCACAGCTGCAATGTTGGTACATAGGGCATCGGAAAGGAAGAAGTTGTTTTGGGACATCCCTACACAAAGGTAAATAGAACCTCCAACGTAATCACACCAGTTAACTTTATTTTTCTTTTTTTTAGGGTTAGTGAAGGGAAGACACCATCTGTAGAACACATAAAACATTTATATAAGAGCAAAGTGATCTGGTTCTTCACAGGTTCTAAACAATTTCAACCAAACCCCAACATGTCAGGATTTAAAGCAAAGAATTTAAACAGGTTCTATTTAGCATGATGTTTAAACTGAGTCAGAAATCCGATAAAAGAAGCAGATATTTTTTCAACAATTGAGCAGGAAATTCTGAAATATTTGTCAAAACTGTATATTAATGTTGCCCTTTTAGGTTTAACTTGACTGGGTGCAAAAAGGAGCTTTAGATGTGTCCAGTAAATTCAACTTTATTGTTTTATACAAAGAAACTATCCCTTAATTCACAGAAACAACAGTAAAGAACAATCCCAAGAGCTTCAACAGCAAATGAATTAAACAGATGGCCATAATCATGCTTTATTATTCTATGATAAACATAAGAAATAAGTTAACAATTGTTTAATTTTCTTGTTTTTTAATATTTACTTTCTTTCAGGGAAGCATGATGATCAAAAACAACATTTAAACATATATTTTTTTCTAACGGCTTCCTTATTTCCCTGATCCAAATTTCCCTGATCCAAATTTCAAGGCAAGAAAACCTCTTCTTTTTGTAACTTTGTATCGTCCACCAGGTCCTTACTCTGAATTTTTAGATGAGTTTTCAGAGTTCCTTTCCGATTTGGTATTAAATACTGACAGGGTCATCATAGTGGGAGATTTTAACATCCATGCTGACATTGAAGGCGATAGCTTAAGAGCAGCCTTTAATGCTATCTTAGACACTGTTGGCTTTGTTCAAAATGTGAATAGTCCCACGCATTCTCATCTTCATACTTTGGATCTTGTGCTGACATACGGCATAGAATGTGAAGAAATAACAGTATTTCCTCACAACCCTGTCCTCTCTGACCACTTTCTAATAACCTTCAGGATTACTTTAACAGAGTTCTCCTCCCCCAAAAGAAGGTTCAATTTTAGTAGATCTTTATCAGATAGTGCAGTTAAAAATTTTAAAGAATCTGCTTCACTTTCTCTCTCCTCTGTGTCACTGAGCAGTGCTGCAGAGTGCAAAAGCTTAGCTTATTCCCCTTCACAGGTTGATGATTTTGTTGATGGGGTTGCTAGTTCTCTGCGTATTGCCTTAGACAACGCAGCTCCTTTGAAAATGAAAACCGTTAAAAATAGAAAGCTTGCTCCTTGGTTTAATGCAGAGCTGCGTACTTTGAAGCAAAATGCTAGGAAACTGGAGAGAAAATATCGCTCCACAGGCCTGCGAGAGTCCTTCCTAGTCTGGAAAAATGGTTTACTGCTGTATAAGAGGACCCTTTGTAAAGCAAGAGCAGCATACTTCTCCTCATTAATAGAGGAGAATAAGAATAATCCTAGATTTCTTTTTAATACAGTTGCCAAACTCACCCAGAGCCATAGCTCTGTTGAACCGTCCATTCCACCTGCTCTTAGCAGCAATGATTTTATGGGATTCTTTATAAATAAGATTGATCTTATTAAAAATAAGATCATAAGCACTCCTCTATCCGCGATTGTACCTGAGGTAGTCATGGAATCTGAACCGGGTTTAGACTGCTTTGATCCAGTTGAACTCTCTGAATTAGCAAAATTATTGTCTTCATCTAAGCCTTCAACTTGTATGTTGGATCCAGTTCCAACCAGGTTATTTAAGGAGGTATTCCCTTTGATCTCCTCCATTTTAGATGTGATTAATCTATCTCTGTTACAGGGATATGTACCTAAAGCTTTTAAGGTTGCTGTAATTAAACCTCTGCTTAAGAAACCGTCTCTTGACCCAGATGACTTGGTCAATTATAGACCTATATCCAATCTTCCTTTCTTATCCAAAATTCTTGAGAAAGTAGTTGCCAAACAAGTTTGCGATCACTTACACCATAATGAACTTTTTGAAGAGTTTCAGTCTGGCTTTAGAGCTCATCATAGCACTGAAACAGCTCTGGTGAAAGTCACTAATGATATTCTCATGGCCTCAGATAATGGACTTGTATCTGTGCTCGTCCTGTTGGATCTTAGTGCTGCATTTGATACAGTTGACCATAATATTCTTTTAGAAAGACTTGAATATTTTGTTGGAATTAAAGGAACAGCACTAGACTGGTTTAAATCTTATCTATCTGATCGAATTCAGTTTGTTCATGTTAATGATAGATCTTCAACACGCTCAAAGGTTACCTGTGGAGTACCACAGGGATCAGTGCTAGGACCAATTCTCTTTACTTTATACATGCTCCCAATTGGTAGAATTATTAGACAGCATGGGATTAATTTCCACTGTTATGCTGATGATACCCAGCTATATCTGTCTATAAATCCAGATGAAGCTAACCCATTACATAGATTACAGGCATGTCTTGAAGACATAAAAACCTGGATGACTCTTAACTTTCTGCTTCTGAATGCAGATAAAACAGAAGTTATAGTCTTTGGACCAGAGTCTCTGAAAAAGAAACTGATTAGCCAGTCACTTCATTTGGATGGGATTAAACTGATTTCAGATAATAAAGTAAAAAATCTTGGTGTTATTTTTGATCAGGACCTGTCATTTAAATCCCATATCAAAGAGGTTTCTAGAATTTCCTTCTTTCATCTGAGGAACATTGCAAAAATTAGAAATATCCTGTCCAGGGGTGATGCTGAGAAACTAGTCCATGCATTTGTTACTTCAAGGCTGGACTATTGTAATTCTTTACTATCAGGAAGTCCACAAACTGTAGTTAAAAGCCTTCAGCTGATCCAAAATGCTGCAGCCAGGGTTCTGATGAAAATTAAAAAGAGAGATCATATCTCGCCTATCCTGGCTTCTCTTCATTGGCTTCCTGTTAAATCAAGAATAGAATTTAAAATCCTCCTTCTCACATATAAAGCCTTAAATGGCCAAGCACCATCTTATATCAGAGATCTGATTGTTCCTTATGTTCCTAACAGAGCACTTCGCTCTCAATCTGCAGGTTTACTAGTGGTTCCTAGAATTTCTAAAAGTAGAATGGGAGGCAGATCTTTTAGTTATCAGGCTCCTCTCCTGTGGAACCAACTACCAGTTTTAGTCCGTGAGGCAGACACCCTGTCTACTTTTAAGGCTAGGCTTAAAACTTTCCTTTTTGATAAAGCTTATAGTTAGGGTGGCTCAGGTTATCCTGAGCTATCTCTATAGTTATGCTGCTATAGGCTTAGACTTTTGGAGGACATAGGGACCCCCATTTCATCATTCTGCTTCATTCTCTCTCTGTTCTCCTATTCTGCAGAATCTGTTAGTTCAATCTCTAACCTTCTGCTCTCTCTGCTTTTCCTCAGAGTAGCTTTGCCTCGTCTGTTCCTGTTTGGCTGTGACGTCATCCTGGAAAGAAACATCAGCTGTGCTGCTTCCATCAACACCCTTGTTTATAGATGTTGGAGATCGGCCTGTTTTCCAGTGTGGTCCTGTTTCTCTGGCCGTGACTGAGTGGATGTGCTCTCTTCGTCCTCTGGCATGGGAGCTGCCTTGGAGCTCGTCTGCCTGGCTGTGTGTTTCCTGGACGGGGCCGCCTTTTACAGCTGCTTTTTGTATCTCTGTTTCTGTCTCCTTGAACCCCAGTCGGCCTCAGCAGATGGCCGCTCACACTGAGCCTGGTTCTGCTGGAGGTTTCTTCCTGTTAAAAGGGAGTTTTTCCTCTCCACTGTCGCTACAAGCATGCTTAGTGTGGGGGATTGTATTTGAGTCAATGAGTCAATGCAATCAACTGGTTTTCCTTAGATAGAAAACTTTGTATCAATTTGACTGTATGATCTGGTTGAACTGTAAAGTGCCTTGAGATGACATGTGTTGTGAATTTGGCGCTATATAAATAAACTGAACTGAACTGAACTTATTTGACATGGTTAATTTTTTACCCTTTTTTTCTCAAAAATTAAAACTGGTTCTAAAAGTGGTTCTCCTGATGTCAGAATCATTCGGTTCCCATGCTTTGAACAGCTCCTGCAGCATCCTGGCATCTTCCAAAGCATTGTGAGCATCGTAGGGCTTCCCAACAAAGTATTCGACTAAACACTCCTGAGAATATCGGTCGTGGTACGGGTAAAGGTTTTTGCTCAGTAGGAAGGTGTCCAGGAAGCCTGACACCACCTGCTGGAACTCCTGAAACAAGGAACACTTCCGCAGCACTCTGAGGAGCACAGGCGCATCGAAACGCTTTGCATTGTGGGCCGCTAGCAACACGGGGCGACGGAAGGAGCGCAGAAAGGCGATGAATGAGGTGAGGAGCTGCTGCAGAGGGATGGTTTCCACAGGGTTCCCTCGCAGAAACAGGCCGTCATCATTTACTGTGAAGCCTGTGACCTGGATGGCGCTCGGGGTCAGCGAGCAGCAAGGGAGAGTGTAGTTGTTGAAGAACTTTTTCTCACAAACTGCGGCCACTTGGATGATATCACACACTGAAGTATCTGAAGGAAGATAAAGGTTTTATATATATATATATATATATATATATATATATATATATATATATACATATACATATACATATACAGAGAGAAAGAGATACCATGGACTCTATTTAGTGGTCCAATGTTTCAATTACAACAAACACTATTAAATTTCATACATATACTCATTTACAACAACCCAAAAAAGAAAAGAAAAGACATGTCCACCCCCTCATAAACTGAGAATAAGTATTTTATTATTTACATGACATAAAACATTTCCACCTCCCCAAACAGACATAAACTCATTCAGATCTGACACCGTTATATAAAACTCTGTCCTAATACGTGCCGCCAGCAGGCCTCTGAACATCAGTTCAACATCTGCTGAGCCTGCCCCCTTCATTTTATTTCTCCTGCTGAGCCAAATGCCTGACCAAACAGGCATCTTTGCCTGACCAAACAGAAAATGTAGCGTTTCCTCAGCCTGATTGGTCTGACTCCCTGATCTGTGATCAATACGTGCCACATATCTGTTCGTAAAAACTGGTAAAAACTGGAAGTCTGTGTTGCATCCAAACCATCCAGCTTCAAGAGAAACAGGTGCTTTCAGTCCAGGTTTTCTGCGCTGAGTAAAGGAAACGTTGTGCTGTCTGAACCCCAGTCGGCCTCAGCAGATGGCCGCTCACACTGAGCCTGGTTCTGCTGGAGGTTCCTTCCTGTTAAAAGGGACTTTTTCCTCTCCACTGTCGCTACAAGCATGCTTAGTGTGAGGGATTGTATTTGAGTCAATCAGTCGATGCAATCAACTGGTTTTCCTTAGATAGAAAACTGAATCAATTTAACTGGATGAAGTGCCTTCAGATGATGTGTGCTGTGAATTGGCGCTATGTAAATAAACTGAATTAAAGCTGAAACGCGGTTATGCGACTCCTAAGGTCAATCAGCCCCTGACCCCTTCTAACACAGGTACAAACAGCACTGCCAATTGAATCCATCCCAGAAAAAATCCACCAGTCTCTTCTGTATCTCTTTAATGACTTTGTCTGGAGGAACTAGAACCGTGGCATGGTGCTAGAGCATAGATGCAACCATATTGTTGGAAACCAAAGTTCTCCCCCTGTAGGACAACTGGGGCTGGTCCCATTTCCATCTAGACACTCTGGCACTATTTCTTTCCAGCTAGACCCTCCCAGTTTTTAACCAGAAAGTTGTGATTTGCCAGAAACACTCCTTAGACCTTTATTTCTTGTGTGCTCCACTGCAGCGTGGCTGGTAGGGTTGGCTGCTCTTTATTGCTCCACTGTCCCAATAAAAGTCCCTCCCATTTTGACCAGTTGACCTTAGCAGAAGAAGCTTGTTTGTATAATTTTAATTTCTGCTCAAGAAGCTGAATATTGTTTTGACAGCATATATATAACTGTAATGTCATCAGCATATGCCGACAAACTAATTATATTGTTTGTGTTGTCTGTCAGGTTTAACCCTAAAGACTCTGCCTGAGTTTATACAAGAGAGGCTCAATAGCTAAAGCATACAGCCTCCCAGATAGAGGACATCCCCGCCTGATTCCTCTCTGAACAGATACTGGTCTGCTAAGCCCCCCTCCTACCTTTAACAGTACTGTAGCTCTTAAATATATCAATTCTATCCATGAAATTATTTTTTTCTCCAAAACCAAACGCTTTAAGTGTTTTAAACAAATTATTATGATCAACTCGATCAAAGGCCTTTTCTTGCTCTAGAGAAAACAAACCAACATCAAGTTCCTGTAATTGAGATAATCAACAATGTCTCTAAGCAAAAACAAATGATCCATTATTGTCCTTTCAGGGACCCAGTATTTCTGACTGACGTGTATGATTGTCTCCATTCATGCTTTAAGTCGATTCGCCAAAACTTTTGCCAGAATTTTATTTCTGTGCAGAGTAATGAAACAGGCGGCCAGTTCTGTTTCAGTTCTTTCTTTGGTAGCAAAGTCAGGACTGCCCTGCTGGCTGCTGCAGCTTGTTGGTAATGTCCCAGAGTCCAAACATCCATGAAAAACATCCATTAAATCTTTTCCAAGTAAATACAAAAAAGTTAATCAGCGCCTGGAGACTGACCACAGCTGAGCTGATTAACCGCTGCAGACAGTTCTTTGAAATTAATGACAGACTCCAGTGAGGCCGAAGATGCTTCTCCTAAGCGAGGGAATCCTTACAGCATCTCATCCAAACAATCAGTCACAATCATCAGCACTGAAAAGGCTGCTGTAGAAGTCTATGGCCACCTTCCTCATCTCTGAGGGGTCAAAGGTCACAGCTCCATTGGAGTTCCTGGGGTGCATCATCCGGCTAGGTTTTCTCCGACTTAAAACTTAAAGAAACAAGTGGGTGCATCTATGTCTTTAATAGATAGGATTCTTGATTTAATTAGAGCACCTTTAGCTTTTTCATACAAAAACCTACCTAAAGATGCCCTCTTATTCTCCCAATTTGCATTATTATCATTATAATCGAACCCATTAAATATACCCTCTTCTAATAAACTCATTTCTTTCTTCAATAATTCAAAATGATCCATTTCTATTGCTTTTGTGTGTGATGTATACTGCTGACAAAATATTCTAATTTGTGTTTTCCCCACCTCCCACCATTGACTTATATTTTCAAATCCTGATTTTCTGCATCTCCAGAAATCAGAGAAAGACAGACACAAAGTCTTGTCATCAATCAGTTTGACATTAAAAAGCCAGTAAGAAGATCTTTGGGAATGCACCATTAAATAAGAATGAAAAGTTATTGATGATCTGAAAAACCAACAGCTGCAGATAACCTATATTAAAAGGTGACATAGAGCCTGTCCAGTCTGGCTGCACTAACCGTAACCCTCAGTGATTCTCACCCAAGTATACTGCCTGCTATTGGATGGAGTTTCCTCCAAACATCTACAATTATTTTGGATAAAAGAGAAGCAGATGATAGATCTCCTATTCCTATCAACGGAATAATTTGTAATTTTTTTGAAAGTATATATATATATATATATATATATATATATATATATATATATATATATATATATATATATATATATACATATATTCTGGAAAGTTAGTTCTCCAAATGCTGCCTGTGCTGTTGGGATGGTTTTGAAAGCACACACCGCGTCATGCTTCCCCAACACACACACAGACACTACTAACTAGTCCTGGTTTCATCCTGGCTGTTGCTCAAAGGCAGTACGCCTCTCTGAACCCGCCATTGTGTCAAAACATGGATCAGCTGACCCCACTGAGTCAGTCTGTGGAAGAACATCAGGAACAAGAGGCTGTTTTAGGAAGCTCTTCAGACTCCCTGCTAATATGCTAATCATAAACAAAGCACTCACATGTGGGTGACTCACAAAGCCCCTGGATCCTGTTACACTGGGATGTCTATAAAGATTGTTTTGGTTAGCAGCTGCTTGTGGAAACGGTTCGTCTTCCCACCATATTTCACAGGAGTCCCTACTCAGCAAGCAGGAACGTACTCTTTGACCTGGTGAGGATTATTTCTCATGACTCAGCCTGTATGTGTAAAACGGAGAGGCTTCTGACTCTTCCTCTTGCTCCACCCTACTCTGCCCAAGCAACCAGATTTTTTGTGGTGGAGATCCAGAGGATTCCAACGTCCAACTGGGCGTGATCAGAGTAAACAGAAACTGACTGTACCCTGTTCCTGCTTTATCAGACTCCACCTGGACTCATTAAGCCATCTGAATATTACACAACAGCACAATAAAAAGGGCCCAGGCTTCTTCCCAGCTCTTTAAACACCTCTACACTTTATCCTCCAGGGACAGAGGCCCATAAATCACTATCAATACAGCAGATGCGATGAGACTTGGTGTCTTGAATTGATTCCAATAATTCATTAAACGATCATGTTAAAAGCCTATTTATGTCTGGCACTCTACAGGAGATTAATAAAAGAGTATACAGAAATAGTTTTGGTATTCTTGTCTCCTTTCGCTTCCGTTTCTAGAAGATTATTTGGGGTCTTTGCATTCAGTTTTATCATCAGAAACGTCATATATATTATAAACTGTTTATTGTTGTTTATTATCTAAAACTGCACTTGTTCTGGCTATCATCCCAATTTGGAAAGTTGATTTATGAAAGAGTAATTTTGTTCCTTGTATGAAGCTAAATACTTCTGATCTTGTTCTTCTATATAAAAATATTTATTGGAATTGCATTAAAACCTTTATTTAAAGCAGAAGACTGGCAGAATACAGGAAGTCCCTTTAAACCACCGGTATATAAAGGGGATATATAATATTAATTTACAAGATAACAACCAAGAGTTGTAAAAACCTAAAATGAAAAGAAAAATACTAAACTTTAAAGCAGTAAAATCACTAAAACTTTCAAAACATAAAGTACTACTTGTGAATGCTGTAGGTATTATCTTTGATCCTGTTTTATTTTCTCATAACTTTAACACAAACAACAAAACGAATCAACAAAATAAACAAACTAAAATAGTTTATTTTTAAATAAACTCTTCATATTATCAATAACACATTTGTATAAAGTTACTTACTAAACATTTGTAACTATGTTGTATTTTATTACTTAGAGGGGTTTTGTACCGTTTTTAAAGTCACATCAGAAAAATAAAAACATTGATCATAAGTTCAGTTTATTCGTTTCTTAAATTCTCCCTCTGAGCAAAAGGATTAGAGATGAATGTGTAGATTAGATTAGATTAGATTACCTAATCCGGTGGTCTCCAGGTCAAAGAAAACGATTATTCTGTTGCGAGCCATCTGGAAGATAATCAATGGATTTCAGCTCCATTTTAACAAACAGCAACATTAAACTAATGTGAACCGCGTTAAGGTAAAAATAATACTAGAAAAAAACATGAGTTTAAGTAACTACGGATTAACTAAACTACGGATTAGTAAAGCTCACCTTCTCCGGTGTGGGTCCTTCTCAGCTGAGCGGTGAGACAGATGTGAAGCAGCTGGAGCAGAAAGTCTCACTTATTCACGTCATTTAGGAGCAGAGCGGCTCTGAGCGCCGCTTTCATTTTAGCCGAAGAGAAACAAATTAAAGTTTGTATCGTTTTCGTCACGCGGAGCTCCGGTGGCCCCCACCTCTTCAGCTCCGGTGGCCCCCACCTCTTCAGCTCCGGTGGCCCCCACCTCTTCAGCTCCAGTGGCCCCCACCCCTTCAGCTCCAGTGGCCCCCCACCTGTCCCAGCAGACCGACCGAAGCTCAATGACCCAACAAAGCTCACTTCGCGGGAAGCTTCACCGACATTCGTTCGACATCAACCGGAAATACAATCCTTATATGGAGTTTACGCGGCACGCGATTCACAACAAACCCCGCTTGTCTGATCCGTTCCGCTCACTTCCGGAAGAAGGAGCAACTAAGTCACGTTAATTAATGACATGTCAAGTTAAAAAATTATTTATAATATAAATAGATGCATATAAAACAAAAAAGTTTAATAAAATACATAAATGTTTGTTACTCGGAGAGTATGAAACATTAAATTATACAATATTAATCCAGATTAGCTATCAGTCATAGAGTGCAACCCTCCCAACATTAACAACCTCATTTTGTAACAGATTTTATTGACTGCAGTTAGGTTTTAGCTCAGGAGTTTGAACTAAGCATTAATCACATATTTCATATCAATAATATATACCCATATTAAACATGATAGTTTTGGGATTAAATTACAGCAGGTAGTTTCAGAAATCTTTCCATTCTCTGTGTAGATTCCACATTATTGTAAGATTTGGTACATTACCACCAGTTTTACTTGATATTATTCATTTTTTTTATTTTTTATATTCTGATATTTTTGTTCTGTTTCCTTTCATGATTGAACAGTTGATTATCTCCCCATGTGGCAAGATGCTAACAGATTTCTACAAATCTAAAGGGACTTCCTAGCTGACTAAAAAATAAACATTAATGCATTATCATGAATTTACTCAATAAGTTTGTATTTTTACATCCTAACAGATCTGTGAAACAAGCTCTTAAGATCACATCACTGCTGACTCTTTATAAATGGAATTTGATTAGTTATTTTTCCTTTAAAAGAAAAAAAACAAGTTTTTTTCCTTTAAAACCCAGTGCCATCATAGTTGAGTGTGGAGATGCATACAGCTCAGGGATCAAACGGTTATTTAAAAACACCAAAAATATTTGGTTAGGGTAAATTTAAAATGTTTCTAAAAATCTGTGATTAACTCATGCAACTAATTGCAAATGTAATTGTTGATTGATTAAGAGTCCTATTGCAGTGCTTACTGCTACTCCAGGCATTATTAATTGAATAAAAGCTGTAAGAAGCTGATCCAGGCATCGATGCTGCTAATGTCCGAGCTAACAATAGACTCCTTTAACAGCAAGCGTTCATTTCATGCCGACCAAAGCAATTCACAAACAAAACATCACTCATCTCACTTTTCATTGGCTGCATTTGTATTTTTAATATAATAAGCAGATGAAAATTTCTCCCCATAAAGTTATTTTTTCCCCCTTACAACCGTAGAGATGTTTTAGATAATTAAAAAAAGAATAACACAAATTGCACCTTATACATACTTAACTAAGTCCACTATTTTTGCACTTCTTTCTTTCACCGTTTCCCTGCGACAAACAAATAAAACAGAACCATGCATGGCCTGTAGGGGGGGAAAGTTGCTGTGATGAATAAATCGGTAATAAGGATAATATATCCTTTTATTATAACAGGTTCTTTTTCACCTACTGTACATCTAAAAGTCATGATCATAAATAGTACATACACTGTATAAACAGAAGAAAAACAACGACTGAAAGCGAGGCATGCCTTCCAGTGACAGTTACATTCACCTTTTACTCTTTTTTTTTTTTTTTTTTATACTTTTTCCTTATTTTTCCTTTTTCAGAATGTCATATGGAAACACACCACAAATATAACTGTGAGGATAACTGACCAAGGAGCAGTTTTGTTCTTTCAGCTCACTTCCAGAAGCAGATGCACCTTTTTAAGTATTATTATCATCCTTATGGTTAATGTAGTTTATAACATATATGAGGAAGGAAACAAACACGCATGTACAGTGCCTTGCTGAAGCGTTCACAATTTTTCCAGTTTTCCAGCATTCCAACCACAAACTTTAATGTATTTGAATCTGCTGCCATGAATAAACAGAGTTTTACATCATAAACAGGTGAAACGAAGGGGCACATGGTTCTGAACATTTCCTACAAAGACTTTAAATCCAATACCTATCTTGTGCAGCAATTTTGCTCGTGTTAACTTTGGAGGAGCTGCAGCTGCTCGGGTGCAATAATCTGTTACTGTTTGGTTGGTTCCTAAATGCAAATTTTTTTTTCTGTTTTTTTTTAAAGTGCACAAAGACAGCCTTAAAAGTGCTGCTTACAAATGAGGTGTAAAAGAGGAGGGGGGATCTAACATTTTGCATCATCCTAAACCATCCAGATAGTCATTGATGATGCAGAGAGCCCATAAAAGACTCAGAAATAGTTCATCCTCACAGTTCAAAACCAAGCCTGCTTTTTCTTCCCCTCCACAATCTATGCACAACTTAGTGCTTCTCTATAATATAAGATCCTGACAACTTGCACTGAATGAGTGGTTGTATGCTGGCAAAACTTGCAAAAGATCAAATGGTGTGAAGACTGGTGCAAGGCACTGATTGACAGCTGTAAAGAGGAGCTGATTTAACACTGATGGTGTAGTGAAGCCAGATCAAAGCTTGCTCCAAAGTCCAGAGTCAACATCACGCACACTTGTTATGGACAGAGTAGGACAGTAAGAGGACGCACACAGACTGAGTGTGTGGGTTAGTTGCTACTTGTTTTGGTCAACAGGCAGATTAAATGCTACTTTTCACAGCAAGAACCCGGAGAGAGGAGCGCAGGGGAGCTACGGTCAAGAAGAGAGAGAGCAGGAAGAGGAGGAGCAGAGCATTTTGTGGCTCAGCGATGTTGGACGGTTAAAATGGTCTGGTAAGTGCAAGGAAATAGAATCCCCCCCCCCCCCCCCCCCCCCCCCTATCCCACTACCACCGTTCATAGTGTAACCGGCACAGTTTTCACCCTTAAAGGAGCAGAGAAAGCCAAGTGTATAAAGGAGTGAGTAAGAGAGGCTACATATGCACAGAAGTGAAGTCATAGGAAGAGAAAAAAATGGCTTTCATCAAAACAATCCAATAATTAAGAAAAAAACAAAAAAGCATGACATCTTTGATATCAATCAATTAACGCCTATGATACAGGAATATCTCACAATAAAAAACAAACCAAAGATTCAAGTCCTGACCAAGTAACACTGATGTTTCTGAACTAAACCTGTGCAGAAAAAAAGGCAGAGCACAAAGCACTCCCAGCCGGCCGGCCAACGGACGCCTGGGGCGAGCTCTGGGGACATGTGACGAGTCAAACCGCGGCCCCTCAAACCGGCCCCGGAGCCAGACGGAAAACCGGCCATAAAGAAAGTCGACCTGAATTTCTTACACTTCAATTTACAGAAACAGGTCACAGATCCACACGACCAACCCAGGAGCAGCACCGGACTCTCTATTTATCTGAAACAATAATATTAATAATAATAATAATAGTATTAACACAGCTTTGACAGTCTGTCGTAACTGATGTGAGCCAGGTGTGATGGAAAGCGTGCAGCCTCTTGGCCGCTGCTTCCTGTGTAAACATGACGTAATGCACACTTAGATTGACGCTGCTTCCTGACAGCATGTTCACCAGTTCAGTCACTATGGCTACATTTGTTCCTGGTGGCACGACCCACCTGCTGCAAAAATAAAGATGGAGCATTGATAGATTTGGCTTTGAAGGATTTCCTTCTTTTCTTCCTTATCCAACCCCCACATCTGCCTTCCAGTCTCACTGGTCCTTTAAATGACCCCTGGTACACCTGCAGGGGCTAAAAACGTACTGAGATCTCCTCGGTTCCTTTCGGTCCAGCTGTCTGCTGCTCACAGAAACCATCAGCCCGCCGTTTCCTTGAAGATCTGCTCAATACCAAATCCTTCTGCTTTGGTTGGGTCAAAGATGCCGGGGTTGGGCACAGAGGAGGAGCTGCTTTCTGACCTGCAGTCTCCTCCTTTTTTCCCGTCAAAAGCCGGCGGCAGCTGGTCTTCCTCTCCCTGCGGTAATCACACCATGAACTCATTTTGATTGTACAGAACCAGCTGCTGTGGCCCCGAGCCGAAGTCCGAATCTCTCCGATGGGCTCCCGAGGAGTCCCGCGGTGAGCTGCGGCTCAGCCTGAGCCTGAGGCGAGTCTTTCCGGTCCTTTGGCCTTCTTCTGGTTCGGCCAACGGGGCCCCCAAGCTGCAAGATGTGAGCAGGGGCCCAGAGGAGGACGAGCGAAAACGGTAGTGAGGAGATGGGGAACCAGAAGCATTGGAGGAAACGGAGGAGGAGGGGTGATAGGAGGATGAGATGGTGGAGGTGGAGTCGACAGAGTCCTGAGAGTCTGGCTGACGACGGAGAGTTCGTCTGGACTTCGACTCAGACTTTCTCGATTGGTACGTCACACGTTCTGTGAAGAAGACAGGCAGAAGACAGGACAGTACATCAATATGTGTTACAAACCGATAGAGTATGAAAAGAAAAAACAGCGGCTCAAGTCAAGCTTAAACATTTAACAAAGGAAATCCAAATAGTTTGAGTTATCATTGTTTTGAAATAACCTGCTGGCTTTGGAAATACATCATTTCAGAAAATCCTTAGATCTGAGGAGGTTTCTGGGGGTGAACAAACATTTAATCTCATGCAAACGGAGTTAGTAAGGGTTTTCTATAACAATGACAAACGAAATCAGATTTAATGAGCAGGAGGGAACCGAGGAAAGAGCCTTGAGGAACGCCACATCAAGCTGACTTTAAGAAGAAACATCAGTAATAAACCAGTCAGAGGTAATGGAAGCCACTTGAGCTAGCGGCTGTCTAGCTCAACTGGTCACCGGGCCTGCAAACAGGAAGTGGTATCCCAGCTGGGGGGAATGAATGCCAGTGTGGATCCTTAGGCAGGACCCTTCATGCTAATGCATGCTTTGGGGAGTGGCGGTCTAGGCAGTTTCTCAATTCACGAGAACCCGAGTACAGATTCGCTCGGCTCTTCTAGAGCTGCATTTCACCTCCTGTTATTAACAGTCTCTAGATAATAATAAATTATTACTTGTTTAATTTAGTGGGGGAATAATGATGACGACAGTCAGATAAACACAAATCAAATGAAAATTTTGCCAAATAAAACCAAAAAATCGCAGCCAGAGCCAGCGGTCCTTCACACACGGCTATGCAGATTGGGCTGCTGCTGACCTTTGCAGGTCCGCTGGTTGCCGCAGTGCTCTCAACTTCGGAAATCTTTTTTTTAATTACGCATTCAATTGGTAAATGAATGTTGCATTTATGTGGGCTGCACAAACTCTGCTGACAGATGCTGAAATGAGTGAAACTTGTTCCCTCAGAGGGACTGAGATGCTGTTCCAGTCTCCCCATGCAGATCTACAGCAGCAGCCATTCAAAATGGCCCTTCCCAGTCAAACCCCAGCCTACTACCCTGCAACTCTCAGCAAAATCCTCTCCAACATCCAGCCACTGGCCTTCTCCTTGGTCTGCATATCAATCTGACTCTACCTTACACTGAATTACAGGTCTGACCAGGAGATGACCTACTTTTTAGATCTTAATGTCCACAAATCATTACAGAACGAATGTTTTAGATGTTTAAAAAGGAATTGTAGGGGACCAGCCAAGGATCCATCATGGAAAGTGTGGAAATTTGGAATTGCTACTACTGTGAGGGGAGCTGAAGGCTCCATGAACAGCAGATCAGTGGATGGTTGATTGGAATCAATATAAATTCTGGAGAAACTTTAAATAAGGAGAAGAAACCAGATCTATTCTCTCTTGTGGTGCACAGGAAGCAGCAGACATTGCTCTACTGACAGCTGCTGTTTCTCACTGCTTACCTTCAGAGATTTTGTGCTTTAATCTGTTTTTAAGCTCTAAAAACAGATCAGAAAATTTTCAGAATGATTTCTGTGGTTGAGAAAATTAGCAGGATGCTGCAGGACTAAACTCTCCTCCACTGACTGATCTCACTCTGTCTCCTTCAGCCATTAATACTCCCCCTGGTCTCTGTCTGCACTCTGGGGCAACAACAATTATAGGTTCATGGTTCATCACAGGTGTAGTTATACACATTTAAAGTCTCTTAATTGTCTGGCTTAGCATTGTATCCATTGTTGAATGGATACAATAGAGCAGTTTTCTCAACGTTCACGTCTGGTTTTAGATACAGAAGTAGATCTGTCTAACAAAACCAACAGCTAAGTAGCCTAAATAGTTTAAATACAAGAACATTTTGATTCAAAACACAGATTATCATAGATTTTTCTAAACTCTGATAAAAGTGAGGCTCTAACCTGCAATCTGACATCATCGTTCTGCAATAAACATGCAAGGCACCTGATCAGGATCTATGCAATAAGATCTGACCAGACCTCAGGCTATGTGAGCTTTCAGCTCATAGTTCTGCAACTATGGAATCAAATGGGTGTGGCTTATAATTCCCATTGATCTGTAGAACATTTCCCTGGCAGGATTTCCCAGGGATGAGCTCTGAATCGCTTTTTCACTCCATGCTTCTCAATAAAATTCAGACATCTTTCTTCTTTTATAAGACTTATTCTCGTTTACTTTGAACTGCTGTTATTAATCCACTAATGGTTTATTCTTGCATTGAATGTAACCCCACTGGCATCTAAAGAGCGTACCAGAGGGGGTGGCTCCTTCCGTGTCCATGGTGATGTTTTCAGAGCTGTCTGCTGTGCCGATGGAGGCCTCCGATTCAGGAGTTTCATCATCAGATGCTCGAGGCTCTAAGACCAACATCTCGTACGTCAGCTCCTCCCTGAAAGCAAACACATGCGGCTTCATCAGAGGCGTCCAACTTCAAACAAACTCCAGAGTAGAAACGTCTCTCGTGTTAAAACGCACTTCTCCTTCTGTAGGCTCTCAATCTGCTCAGTTAGTATCCGCTCCTCCTGCTGCATCACCTGCTGCTGCTGCTCACTGAGCCCGCTCTCTCCTGCCTCCTCTCCTCCTCCTCCTCCTCCTCCTCCAGCACCTTCTCCTTCTGCTTTGGGGCTCAAAGGAGGCGATGGGATGTGGGAGCCGCTTTGCCGAACACGAACTCTGCTCTGTATTTTCAGACAAACACAGATGAACAAAATAAATAACTAAAATCAGGGAAATGGCATAAATTTGAAGTTTGATCAGAGAGGTAATAGGTGAGAGAGATGGTCATGAAGCAGAGAGCGACCATGTTTTTAACCACATGCTGACAATACAGATCCACTAACCACGCTTTGCACCATCACTGCTATAAGCTCTGCTGCAGAACAAACAAACACTCGGTCATACGGTCACACACGCAGGAATGACCTGGAATAACGCTGTGCTGCATTTGAACACGCTGAGCAGCAGAAACAGGAAGCGGTGCGATCAGCTGAGCTACCCAGCTCTGTCTGAGCCTTCACAGCAAACACACACAGCTACATGGCATGGGAGCAGGTTAGCTGGCGCTAAGTAGCCACTTTCAAAGCTTTTCAGCTACAACCTACAGCTACAGTAACCCGCAGACCTGGTTTTAGGAGAAGAACTAGACTAAACTAAACTAGCAACATCTTATTTATCTGATCAACATTTCAACCTATCAGGTCTGAGTGATGAGTTTCCAAAACTAGCTTCGCAAAGGTTGTTCAGCAGATTAGAATGAAAGAAAATACAATCTGATTATTTCTGGAATATTTTTCCCAGTTTTCTGCATATTCAGTGAGCTTGGAGCTACTTCGATCATAGCTGCTAATGTTCCGTACCTCATTGTTTAACACCTTCCTCTGATTAAAACACCATTACTGTAAATAAGATCAGTCGTTAGAGGATTAGCAATATCTCACACTTAAAGAAGATTCATCCAACCTTTAGATTAAGTAGGAAAAGCACCTTATGTTAACTGTTAGCTAAGGTAGAGGCTCGGTGAGGCTGTGGGCCTCTTTCCCATCCAAAAGAGCTTTTCAACACTCATGATTTTGTCTTTCTCAGCAAATATTTCATCTGTCCCGTTGTGCGTTTTCTTAGCAGGTTATTTTTTGAACAAGAAAAAATTTTTTTTAAATGCCATAAAAAGAAAAAACAGCTGGATTTTCTAAGTGCTTTAAATGTTTCTAGAGGCACAATGCTAAAAAATGTGCAAAATAGGTCCCCTTTCCAAATTCACAGATGACAAAGATATTCCATAATATTTTCTTTATTCTCCTTGAACCCCAGTGGGCCTCAGCAGATGGCCGCTCACACTGAGCCTGGTTCTGCTGGAGGTTTCTTCCTGTTAAAAGGGAGTTTTTCCTCTCCACTGTCGCCTCAAGCATGCATGGTGTGATGGATTGAGTCAATGAGATGATGCATCAACTGGTTTTCTTTAGATAGCAAACTTTGAATCAATCTGACTGTATGATCTGGTTGAACTGGAAAGTGCCTTGAGATGACATGTGTTGTGATGTGGCACTATAAAAATAACTTGAATTGAATTGAATTTCTATTAGATGAGGGTAAAAGATCCACGCCTCCTAAAGATAATATTCTAGGGTATTTCTATTTGGCCACTGAGGAATATCTGTGGGCAAATATATGACATAAAGCAGACAAAGTTTTTTGCAAAGACCTCGACAACCAGCCAGGTCTACCTGACCGCCAAGAACAGCGAGCAGAAGGGTTACAAAGCCGTCGCATCCATTTACCATGTAACAAGCAGCTCTTTGCGATACATGTCTGTGTTGGGCTTTACTGGGAGTCGTGGGCTTTGGTTAGATAAGTCCGCCTTTACTGTATACACATGGAAATGGCTGCAACCAGATGGTGGGTTTAGTTTGAAAGATCTGAAAGGTAAATGATGCTATAGAGTCCTATATATTTTTGAAACCCCTGTGGGACACAAATCCCCATCACAATGAACCATCAGCTATTTATTCCCTTTTGGTTCATTTTTAGGTCTTATTAAAATAAAAGGCATATTATTTTCTAATGTTTTCATATCTTTACCAGAGATTCCAGGTATGTGTTGCGTGCGCCACATCCCAACCCAGTGTTGACGCTTCATATGTGATACCTCTGAGGAAGTAGTTCTGAACATCAGTAAGTAATGTTAAGAGTTGTTGAAACTTACCTGACTTTAACTTTTATTTTTTGCTTTTGGAGTCACAAACATATTATAAAAACTACTGATTAGCAGAAGCTAAAGTCAATTTTCTTATGAGGAAGTAAGAGTAAACAGAGCAAACTATCCATCCATCCATTTTCTGTCACGCTTTATCCCTGCTTTGGTTGCGAGAGGTGGAGGACACCCTGGACAGGTCACCAGTCCATGGCAGGGCAACAGAGCTAACTAATTGCTTCAAAAGAATAGGTTTTGTATTCTGCTCTATTTTAAAAGGTATTTTAATAAGATAAAAAAAAAATCACGTCTAATGGAGACAAATGCTAAGGTTATTTTTATGTTGATGTTTTACATGCTCCTCAGTCGGGTTTATCTGTTCAGTCAAGCCACCAGTTAGGATCAGACTCAACTATTTAAGTGATTATCATCCATTTTCAGATCAGTCAGAAAGGAGGCTGCAGAGTGAGCATAACTGCTAACAAACAATGAGCTATTCATTCAGAATTTGCACATCCTGCATGAAGAGATACATTTGCATGTGTATCTGAGCATTTCCAGGAACCAAAGAGATCGTAATTCTACATAAAACATGAGCTTCAGGAATCACCTTTACTATCAATTTCATGATCTAAAGAGATATTTTTAGTTGCTTTATAACTGACTGTAGACCGGTGAAGAATCTCAGTCATCCAGGTAATAGTACATTCCAAAAAAGTAAAAAAAATAACAATCCACTGGAGTTTATTTTCAAAGTTTGAGGACATTTCGCTTCCCATTCAGGAACCTTTTTAATCCAAAATGTCTGAAATAGCATCGAGTTCGAGGCTTGAACTCAACTCCATTTCTGACATTTTGAAATGAAAAAACTTCCTGGTTGTGAAGCAAAATGTCTTTAAACTTGGAAACAAACTCCAGTGGATTGTTATTTAACTTTTTTGGAATGTACTATAGACCCAGCTCCTCTTCATAAGTTTCCCTATTTGTTGATGATCAACAAAACAACACCACTACTTTATCTCAAAGGCATTTCTCCTGTAAAACCACAGCTTTTTGGTAATAAATGTTGCTGATTCAAACCGGACGTTTCTATATTATGTTATGGAAAATAAAAATGGTCGATACATATGGTATATCCCCATGCAGATTAAAAACGACAGAATATAAAAAGCATATTAGCTTGCAGATATAAAATACAGATTAACATCATATATTGCCATTCTGATTGGAATAATGATAGATATGGTATATCATCATGTAGAGAACAATACCGATATATATCTAATATAACCAGGCATATTAAAACAATCCTGATATATATTTAATATCCACATGCAGATTAAGAATATAATTCTATTATACATCATGTGGATGAAATATTTCAAGGTATATAGCAAATATTGCAAAGCAAATTAAACATTTCAAGATATATAACAAATATCTCAATGCATATTTGAAAAATGAATAAAAATTGAGAATTTATAAAAATGTATTATGATATTATATTAATAGCAAAATTCAGATAACATATATGCATAATATGCAATATAATCCTGCAGGTTAAAGTATTGAGAGATATATTAAATATTGGCATGCAGATTAATTTAATGAGACACTTATCATTTATCACTAGGTAGATTGGACATTTTAGGTGAATAAAAGCAAAAGAGTTTGTTTATTTATTCAGATCAATTTGAGGTAAACTAATGGCTATTTCTGCACTTTATCAGAAAAAATGTAAAGTTTTAACTTGTAATCAAACAGTCCTGTTTAAGCCACTTCAAGCCAGTTATGCTGTTGTCTTCGACTGAATCTAATTCAACAGCAGTGGGTTAGAATGGCCACTTCAGCATAATGATGACATAATGTCATTCATCCATATTTTTTGCACTAAAGGATATTAAAACAGAAACACGAACAATAAAACAAACATCTAAACAAAGAATGAGCTGCCTAACAGAGACCAGCTGACAGACAGGCATGGATAGTGCTGTGGCTGGACGTTACAGACAGCATGGGAGCAACAGGACACGGCAGGACTGGCGGTGGGCGGCGCATGGTGAGGGCGGGGCATACATACCGGGGTGGCAGTGCGGGTAATGCTCATAAACCTAACAGCAATTAGTACGGGTTTCTGGAAGGAAGGGAGGGAGGGAGGAAGGACAGATCAGGGTTAGGGACTGGTGCAGGTAATCACATCAGAACGGGGCCTGCTCAATTAGAGGGGCGAGTTTAGGATTAGCTCAGGTTAAAGAAAGGAGAATAGAATTAACTTTAGGTTGAGTTATCCAGGTCAAAAATCTCCCATTTCTCCCTAAAGTGTTAGAAACTATTTTAATCCTGCGGCATTTAATTTAAAGATTGGTGGATAGATGATCTGGAGGAATATTACACTGCGCTGTCACAGGCACTTAAATTAAACGTCATTACATCTAAAAGATTTACTGATCAGAAACTAACATTGATTTATGAGTAAAGTTTTCAGAATCCTTTCATTTCTGACAGTTTTTGCATCAAAACCAGAACATTTATATAAGAAAGAAGTGAAAAACCAAAGTTTTATTTTTCTCGCAGTACAAATAAAACCCCTTTTTTGTAACTTTTTTTTAGCTGAAACTACAACTGGGAGTCTTTTGGGGTGAGACTCAGCCAGATGTTACCATTCCCAGCTGGCTCAGAGCTCGTCTGCCTGGCTGTGTGTTTCCTGGACGGGGCCGCCTTTTACAATTGCCTTTTGTATCTATGCTTCTTTTTCTATGTCTGTATCTGTCTCCTTGAACCCCAGTCGTCCTCAGCAGATGGCCGCTCACACTGAGCCTGGTCCTGCTGGAGGTTTCTTCCTGTTTAAAGGGAGTTTTTCCTCTCCACTGTCGCTACAAGCATGCTTAGTGTGAGGGATTGCTGAAGAGTCAATGAGTCGATGCAATCAGCTGGTTTTCCTTTGATAGAAAACTGACTGTATGATCTGGTTGAACTGTAAAGTGTCTTGAGATGACGTGTTGTGAATTGGATCTATATAAATAAACTGAATGAATGAAATTGATTGTAGGATTCCTAAAGGTTTGCTGATTTCTCTGCTCAGGTTCAGTCAAACCCATTTTTTAAAGGTGTCCAGTGTCTCGGTCCTAATGAAGCACAGCCTCCCCACATCAGAACGCTCTCACTATCTTTGCCAAGCTGTCATGTTCAGGAGGTTCACAGGGAGACTTCTTTCTTTTTTCAGATGCTCTGTCAGCTCGTTTTAATCTGCTTCAATCATCTCCATAACTTCCTCCCTGACTCATTGCCGTGTTTCCTTGGTTTACAAAATGCCGTATGTTCACAACTTTTTCAGTTTTTCTTGCCAAAAACTTTGAGAAGCAGCAATCTATTTGAATCCATTTAACTTTTTTTTAATATTATGTGCTGACTAAATTAAAAGATTCAGAGGGAAGTTTTATTCAGAACCTCTTTTAAATAATCCTGACTTAGAATTGGTATGATTGGTCCATATGTTAAAAAGGTTCTAGTGATAAAAGTGAAACCTCTGCTTGTTTGTGTGAAAATGTAAATGGTCTCCGAGCAGAACGCCATGCCAGCTGCTCCACAGCAGCTACAGGCCTGAAACCTCGGGGCCGTCTTACCAGGGACCTCCTGATGTGGGTCAGTCTGCTTTTTGCTTTGCTCTCTGCAAACTCCAGAGTGTTGATGTCCTTCAGACGAGCTTTGTACTTGCTCATCTGTTCGTTGATGATCAGCTCCACGCACCTGCAGGCAGAGGACAAAAGCAAAATCGTCAAAATCTCCACGGGGTCCAGACTGGGGCAATGGTTTTTCATGGGGGCCCGGAAAAAAGAATTAAGCAAAAAAAAAGTCAAAAGTTTACATTTGATGTATCGAGTCGAAGAAGCAAAGAGTAGCTTGAAAGAAGTGGGACGTTCATGTAATTTTGGTCAATTCAGATTATTATTGTCTTTCTGGTTTGAAACTGTTCATTTTACTTTACTGAAAAAAAACTCCCTTCTTGTAGAAAAAAAACAATCAACTGAAGTAATGAGTTTGAAGTAAATATCAGCTTCAAATCGAAGGTGATGCTTTAGCGGAACGTCTTGATATAATTATAAATAAAATAAAGTATAACTATAATCAGTAATTGAGTTGAAAGGGGTGGGGTGGGGGTGGGGGGGGGGCATCCCCCTTCTTAAATGACCATTCTCCCATACCATCCCCTTTGACATTTTATTACTGAATGTGTCAATTTCTACTATATATTAACAGTAATGGCAATGATATTGTGCTCTCAACATTTGGCTGGTTGTTCGTTTCCTAGTAGCCTGACCAGATTACGGTGGCCCAGAGGGCACATGCCATTTCATTTTTAGACCTCAGTGGCGCAACCAGCGAAGCAGGTGAGCGTGTTCTGAACAGCATCACAGCTAAGCGGTAAAGACAACATGATTTGAGGGACTTGATTTTTAAGAAGGCTAAAACTAACACTTCAGGTAAGTCCAGACTCAGAAGAAATTACCTTTTATAAGCTCACCATTGTGTCACCAAATATGTAGAAGTCCTAATCTGTGGACATAGCATGCAGAACTAGGTAAACTAACTTGAAGCCCAAACATTTTCCTGTCTTTAAAGTTGTCATGACACATGAGAATTAGTCTAGAGCGTACACGCATTGCTGAACATTCAAACCCTGCATTTTGGTTGTGAATGAAATGAATCTGTAGCCCGCTGCTGTTTTGCTTGGTGACAGCCAGAATCTGCAAGATGCTGATGAGTGAAGTGGAGCTGTGCTGGAAACCGGAGGAGAGAATCAAAAGTTTGAAAAATGCATTTTAATTAAGCTATTTAAGTTAAGGGTTAAGATTATTTTATAAAATAGAATGTTTATCAGAAAATCAAAATTATTTGGTTGTTCTTTTAAGATAATAAACACTCTAAATGAATATTTGAAAGGTGAGTAAAATTATTAGATTTTATATAGGCTTGCTTATTTTTCAGGGTAATTTGAATGAATTTGAATCTGTAAGCAGTTTTTTTTCAGATTTTGAAAATTATTTCAGCTGTTTCAATTTAATTATTTGAATTTGAATAAAAATATACGTACTTGACTTGAAAGGATTCAGATATTCATTTGCAATGTTTTGTGAGGTTTTGTTCCAAATCATAATAGATTCATTGCCCGAAGATTATCCAAAGTAAAATAAAAGAAGTGTCCTACCATGACTATGAAGCTGAAACCAGTGGGAAAGTAGTCTCTATGTAGGTACAGAGATAGCCAAGCTAACTATGTAGATATAAGGCTTCTATGGTCAATGAATGAAATATTGAGTTTTTAAAAAATTGCTAAAGTTTTTGGAATAAACCATCATAGTATTATTTCAATAAACTTTAATGACCTACATTAAATAATGATGAGCATTTTTAATCTATTAAAAATTATAACTTGGGTAAAACTGTAAAAATCATAGTTAAAACAAAAATGTAAAGGTAAAAATGGTTGCAAGACACCAATCGGTTAGGGGGCCTTTTCAGACGTATAGAATCATCATAAATGTATTTCTTATTAACTCTTAGGTGCGTCTCTGAATGAACTTTCATCCCAAAGGAAGCAGATCCACTTCCTGCCTTTCAGATTTCCAATATGGAGGCAGAGGGAAACATACGCGGTGGTTTTGCTGATGTCTTGAACGCTCTGCAGCGGGTCGATGGTGTCGGGACAACGGAGGATGCAGGGAGCGAAGACGATTGCGAGTGCGTTGGCGGACATCCTGTTGGTTTCCTCCTGTAGGGCAATCCTGCAACGCAACACAGAACAGCAGAATTATTTTAATCCCAACCTTCAGCAGACGTGACACAGACATTCCTTCAGGAACCGTCTGACTGCCATGAAGCTCACCCACCTGACCAGGTGGAAGATCAGACGCTCCAACGTGCTAAGGTGCGTCCTGCTGAGCTGGTCGATCACAGAATAAACGCCTCGGATCATCTCCCGCTTGTCCGGTTGGCCTGAAAACAGCAGATCAAAAACTTTGCTTTTCATGTCCGAATTCACGCTTTCCTTCCTTTAAATTTCCAGAAGTCTTAATAAACATTTAGTTTCAAAAATCTCTAGTTATGGCTGGATCATTTAGATCAGGTCTGTGACCTGCGGCTCCAAAGCAGGAAGTGGAGCTTTAGACCCCCGACTATGGCTCTAAATGGTAACTAAACATGATGTTAGGAACCAACTAATAACCGATATCAGTCTAAGAAGATTTTGTTGATCTTTAAAGGCACATCGGGTAACTATTGGCCACTAGGGGCAATAGACCTGTAACTTTCAGGTCTGGTGCCCCTTGTAGCTTTTGTTTGTAGCCTGCTAGCTTTCTCTGCCTGTATTTTGGACAAAACACCTATGAGCCTATAGGCCTATTCAAAATACAATAAAAATAAATAAGTAAATAGATTGAGATTCAATACTATATGTATATCATCATATACACTTCAGTGCACACAACCAGGGTCTGTAACACACAGGCATCATCAGTTCTCAGGTGAATATATCAGCTATAAATTAAACTTCACAATAACACTATAAAAACATACATTTGGTCAGCTGGCATGAACCTGAGTCACTGTGTTTATGTTATACGTGAATATATTAGCTCCAAATTCCATTTACCAGAAGGAAATAATAAATTATTATACTATTCAAATTTTATTTAATAGTTCTTAATTTCCTTAATTTAATAGTTCATTACACAAAGAAATTTGAACCCAAAATGCTTTTCTGTGCCATATTTGCTCCTCCTTCTGTGATTAGACTATGTCATTTTACTAGTCTGCTGCCATGAGCAGGATACCATGCTCTAGCTTGCTTGACGTTGCCATGACAACATAACTTCCATGAAGTTGAGTTGATGAGGCCTCACAATAATTAAATTAAAATCCAAATACACGTAATAGTCAAATAAGAAAAAAGTAATTTCCCCAAATATTCATAAGAAATTTATAAATTGTGCGAAGTGTTTTTAATACTTTTTTAAAGTCTCCCTCTCACCACTAGAGGGTGCTGCAGAGACCCCCACTTCCCGCGGCCATGGGTTACATCACCAACGAAGGTGGATCTTCTCCCAACTTACAGAGTCAGTATTTCAAGAGGGGAGCCCAGCTTGTAGCATTGTTAGTGTAAAGTGCTGCATATTAGCCTGAGGAATCATTTAAAATAACTCATATGCATCAACTCTTCAGGTCACAAAGCGGTGTGCCTTTAAAATCTCAGAATTCAATTTTTACAACTGAATTACATGAAAAGTATAGTGGAGGATGGTCTTTTTCCGGGTGGATCATCAAAATAAGTGGTCCTCCTAAAGTAAGCTTGTATGACCAATGCAAACATCAACTTTTAAACAGAGCGTGCACGGGGAGACCTGGGCTCTAACATGCGTTTAATAGGCGTTACCTCTGGGGAGCAGGTACAGGTTTGTGTATGTGCATTTTTTGTTTTATAATGGAGAGGGCAGGTTGTTGTTTTTTTTATTGTGAAAATCCTCCACTATCCCTTTAAGAGAACCAGAGATATGCTTTTAGATACATTTTTTTTTTATTAATTTGGAAATTATGTTTATTTTTCATCAAATAAAATCGTGTAGAAGAAAATCTCTGCTTCATCTCTATGAAACTCTCATGTTTTTGCTTATTTTAAAAGGTCAAAATAAAAAAAAAACCCTGACAGTTGTTTGAAAATAGCATCAGCTTTTCCTACAGCAGATATAAAAAGTGAAAAGTTGTGTGTTATCATTATTGAGAACTGTGACATCAGATGAAGGAGTTCACCCTGCAACTGAAGGGTTGTCGGTTCAAGTGTCGTATTGTCCTTGATAGGACACTTCACCTGCATTGCCTAATGATGGCGGTCAGAGGGCCCGGTGGCGCCTCTGTCAGTGAGCCCCAGGGCAGCTGTGCCTACTGTGCAGCTTGCCACCATCAGAGTGTGGGTGAATGGGTGAATGTATTGTAAAGCGCTTTGTTCAAGCCTTGAATAGTGCTTTAGAACTACAGGACATTTACAGTTTACCATATTAAAAGGTTGTGTATTTAATGTGCCTCTAAACCACTTTGGATTATAATCCACTCTGGAGTTTTAAGGTCGTAGATCTTTGTAAAGTGGCATCAAATCTGAAAGGACGAGTATTTTACTAGATTATCAGGGCCTTAAAAACATATTTATCAATACTTTCATCAAACCAACAGCTTTAAGCAGGGCTTACCCATTGCTCTGAGGAACTCCTCGTAGAGTTCAAAGGTCATGAGCGGGCTGGGCAGGTCCCTCAGCCACTGTTTGAGTACGCTGGCGATGACATGGATGTTGTAGTCGTCCAGAACCACGCTGCTCACATCTACAGCCAAAAGAAGTTTGGATGCATGAACTCCAGAGCCAGCAATGCGCAGCGGCACAGCTGGGAAACATCTGTCTCAGATCTGGGCCTCCGAAAGGTTTTCAACTAGAAGGCTGGAACTCCTTTTTATGTTAATCCCCCGTCACAAAATGACCATTTAACCAGCTTATACCTGATGTACAAAACATGCTGGTTTACTTTGGAGAAGTTATGGTTCAGTTTTGTATGAGTTATGAGCATGCTGACGCACGCTGACACACATCGGGTAATGTTGAGTAGCTCAAAAGTGCTCTACGTATGCCAGCGTACATACGCCATACATAGGCCAACTTAGAGGTAAGTTATCTGATTGTTGACATACGTTAATTATAAATTACTCATCAGTCGTGGCATCACGCTTGTGCATAACTTCTGTGTAACTTATCAAGAACTTCTCTCCAACGCATATCAGTGTATTTGACGTGTTCTAGACAAGCGCTGAACGCGTTTCTAACTTCCAGCTACTGTCTAATGGCGTTTTAGTATAAAGGGGCTCACAGGAGGAAACCATCAGTACTCCTCCAGACTTCATTCCCATCACAGGGTGAGTGAGAGAGCTATGGGTCCTCCCTGCGTTAATGCCCACGGCCCCGACTGGAACCTGCTGCAACTGCAAACCTTCTTTATCTTTTTTCTTTTTATTCTTCTTATTTGGTGGGCGGTAACCAGCAGCTAGGTTAATACTGCAATCAATATCTTTATGCAGTCCAGGCACCTCTGGGAGCATCGCTGCCCCCCTCAGGACACTGGCTTGTGAAATTTGATGGGCATTACCCTGCCGTGCCTTATGCATTAGTTAGACTGTCGTTAGACATACGCTCTGGACTCATAAATATTTTATGTGTATGCCCAAAACAGAAAAATACTTGGAAAGTTGGGTCTATGCCAGTGTTTTAGGTGATTCTGGGATGCCAGGCATATGCTGGCCAAACTGTCAAAGTGTGACAGGGGCTTTAAATAAACAGAGAAATTAGTCGACTGATCTCAAAATTCAATTCAATAATATATCATTTTCATATTTTATTTTTTGAATGCCTCCATTTTATTCTATTCTATGAGTAGAAAAAATGAATTGTTTTATTTACATTTCTCAAAAAACAAAAAAAAAATCAACGTTAGCAGGTTGGAGCTTTAGAAACACACTAACAGTCCTATTCCTCTGAAAAATTTCTTCTTTTTACATCATGTAAGCAGACAGCACTGTTAGGGCTTCATTAATTATAAATATTCAATCTTAGAATGAGGGGCGTGTCTCACCCGTGTCCAGGCCCTGTCGCAGCTCTTTGATCTTATTGGTAGAGCCCGACTTCCTGTAGATCCCCTCCGTGTAGAGGCCGTGCATCTCAATGTAGTTGATGAGTTTCTCCACCAGCTGGGGAACGGCGCGCTCCTCGCTAGTCAGACGGGACAACTCCAGCCCAAACTGACGGGACGACAGCTCGGGGTCGTACTTCAACACAGAGACAGAGAGTATGAGAACCAAGGCTGGAGCGTTCCTCGTGTTTACAGCCACCATGATGAGCCTCATACTGCCAAGCTTTTAGAATTAGAATTCAACTTTATTGTCATTGCACTGTCACGAGTACAAAGCAATGAAATGTGGTTTGCATCTATCCAGAAGTGCTATACAGGATATAAATACTATTACAGGTGTATGTACAAGCAAAAAGTAATAGTTAGGGACTGTAAAAAGTTGTGTATAAATATAAATATGAATATGGGAGCTACATGAAGAGATTATACAGATTATACAGGAATGTTAGGAAAAGGATTATGTATGTATTAGTGGGTGTCTAATACAAGATAAATAATGGCAGATAAGATTTACAGATTATATACAGACTGTATAGAAATTGTGTGTGAGTGTGAGGACAGTCCATATGTTATTATTGTATGGAGGGAATACAGTCCTTATAGTTGTGTCAGGAGGCGTTCAGGAGCGTGACAAATGTGGGAAAGAAGCTGTTCAGGTGCCTGGTGATTCTGGTCCGTAGGCGTCTGTAACGCTTACAGATTTTCGTTACACATACCGAAAAAAAATAAGGAGATAAATTTCAGATTTCATTAAAACCAAAAACCTGAATGTGTTTTCATTCATTTTAAACTATTTAATTGAGAAATGTGTAAATTACATCCATCAAGGTGAAATCTCAGCTCAGTATAAATGCAGCTTGAAAGGTTTCAGAGGTCTGTAACACCAGCATCACGGAAACGGAGGAACAAAGCAGGCAGGTCAGGATTTAAGATGCAAAGATGTTTAAAGGAGGGAAAGATCAAAAAATGTTTTAATGTTATAAAGCGTATCAGGGTGAGCAGCGGTCACCCCCACGGTGCAAATCTGGGAAATATGGATGAAAACAAAGCCTCTGGGGAAAAAAAGGGCTGCTTTCTCAGATATATTTTTCAATTTGTTTTTTTTTTTTGTACCGATTTTTTAAGTTAAAATATTATGTAGTATTACGAACTGCATTCTTTGAAATTGTGTTTGACATTTTTTTCCACTTCAAGGCCAAAACAAAAGCTCCCTCTTATTGTAACAGTATAGACAAAAACTATTAATGCAGTAAAATTCAAAAAACCTATTTTTTATATTTCCAAAAGAAAACAAATGGCAAGAGAGACTTCCTGTTTTGATTTTATTTTCTGCAGAGATCTTCAGAAATCAATTGAATATACATTAACAGATATAAATCCCCTACAAATGGTACATTTCCATGTCATACATTCTTATGCGTTTTGAAGGGATTGTGATTATATTATGAGAGAGGAGGAACAAAGGAACACTGGTAGAAAGAACAGTTAAAGAGAAGGAAGAAAAATCTACTTAGATAAGTAAAGTACAGAGCAGGCAGAAATCGGACGACAGCGAGAAAGAAAACAACCTTAGTAACCAGCTCTGTAGAGGGTGGAGGGAGGAAAGAGCATTCTTTGCATTTCATGTCTCAAATACCACTATAATCGAAACGTTTTTTTTTGCCCTTGTTCATACATTAATTGAGTTAATTGAATAATATGTTATTATTCATACATGAATTAAAACTAAATAACTATACAGTAGCAACCATTCAAAATGGCCCCTCCCTGTGCGACTCCCAGCAGTATCCCCTCCAACTTCCAGCCACTGGAGTGACCCCTCTCCTTCTCCAGGGCGTGCATATGTTTTTACTCTGACTCCACCCTTTCACTGAATTACAGGCTCTGACCAAGAGATGGCGCTTCTCTTTAAATATTAATGTCCGCAAATCACGACAGAAGGAATAATTTAGTACAAATATTGATGTTTTAAAAGGAATCTTAGGGGACCAGCCAAGGACCCAGCAAGGAAAGTGGGGAAATTTTCAATGGCTGCTACTCTACTGTAAAAACGTCTTATTATATTATGACAGCCCTGCACCCACGCAAAAAGGCCAGTCTAGGATTCCCGGTACGCCCGATGGTATCCTGCTCTGTTTACGTCCATCAGGCAGAGAAATTAAGTGCAGTTCCCCCTGAGCAGAGCGTCAGTAAGGTAAAACACAGAGACGAAAGAGAAAATCTACATTCCTGCAGAACAACTGCCCTGAGCAAACAATAGCAGCTACAATGAAGGGAGTTTGGATCAAAGCATTGAATGCCTGAATTAATATAAACTCTTAGATCAATTTAAGACAAAAAAGTCGATGTTCACAGACACTAACCATCCATTATGACCGAAGTTGAATTCTCTGGATGTTTAAATGCCTTACAGACAATAACGGTTCTGAACGCAAACCAAACTCTTCATGTTTCACAATTGCAAAACATCTTGCTACTTCTGCTGAGCCGTTCGTTTTGCAGTTTTCTTTGTAAATATTGACTTCTGAAATCAGGAGTGACTCCTCTGGGTGTTAAATACTCAGAAGGAAGAAAAAGATCCATCTTTTAATTTGCCTCTGTGGATTTAGAACTTCTAATAGATCCGCTGCATTCCCCAAACCAGAAAACCAAATGGACCCAACCCACCTTCTTACTGCACTTGGTGGTCATCCTGGAGCAGCACTTCCTGTGGCAGGCGTAGCGGCACACTGCAGACAAAAGCAAACAAAGCCATCAAAAAGCCATCAGACTCCCTTTCCTGAGCCAACAACTTCCATCCAGTGTAAGAATCAGAGACTAGTGTCAGCTCAGCTGTCTGCATCGTGGCAAAGATCGCTCTGTAACCAGATAGAAGATGGATTTCTGAAGGAGGAGGGAGCGTAATCAAATTTAGCCGACTTTCAGACCGGCATATGGAAAGGGTTTTAGTGGGACAGAGTGGGAGCTAAGACTGTGATGCAGTTAGCCTGAAGCTACATGTAGTGATGTTATATTCTGGTATCTACATGAATGATCTTAATAACATGTTATTCTTCTCTTTATACACTCTTTTTTCCCCTTAGAACAAGTTAATCATATTCATCTTCTGAATGCTTGTTTTTGGGTGTGTCCTTTGCTTACATTTGCAAACGCAGGCCCGGTCCATCATCCAGATGAGGGAGGAGCAGTACTCGCAGTAGGTGGGGATGCTGTACTGAGTGGACTTAAAGATGTGGCCATTATGTTCCTCCACCTGCAGGGGGCAGCAGACCAACTAGTCTGAAAACTGTAGCACCATGGCAGTATGTTCATACGCATTCATTACAATGGAACAAGACGCAGTTTTTAATTTGATACCACAGCAACACAAAGCGATGCAAGATTCTGAAGTGGAAAGAAAAGTTTAGAGTGTTCTGATTTTTTACTGTTAAATTTCTGAATATAGTACCGCCTGCATTTAGCCTCATTTAGGAGAAAATGATCAGTAAAATTGAACACAATTTTTTTTCAGATTTCTTGCATATTTTAAACTTAAATTAGCTCCGGACTTTGACTAGGCCATTCTAATGCTGTGATTAGTGTAGCTCTGGCTGTAAATGTTAGAAGGGTGAGCCTCCATCTCAGGCCTCAGTCTTTTGCTCACTGGTTGAACCTCTCTGGAGTGTAACTTTTGAGACTGGTTTGTATTTTATTCCTTGTAGAATTCAAACCTAAACTTTCCTTCCACTTCTAAATTTTAGCCATCCTCTACAGAGTATATTTAAACTCACCATGTCAGTTTCCTTCTTCCTCGACTTCTTGCGCTCACGTTTTAGAGTCTGACAGGAGAAAGAAACATGGGTTACCTCCTGCATTCAAACTTTAAAGACAGCATTTCCACCCTGAGTGGACATTTTTAAGTCTCATCAACTAAAATTCCAAAACTGCTTAAACAGATCAGTTTTGGTTGTGTTTCATACCCTGCCAATGGTCCCCTCCGTCGGTTTGTACTCGGTCATAAATTCATCCAGGAAGACCTTGAAGGTGTTGACCCACACCTTCACAGGCGACTCGCTCCAGTCCCTCTGCTCCAGACGCATGGTCTTCTCCAGGATGTGCTCGAACAGTGCATACAGATCCTTGTAGCGGATGCTCCGCCCATCATCCATCTGATGGGGTTCAAATAAGATACCATAGAGCTTTACAGCTGGAATACAGCAGCTGGAAAACAGCCCTTCCAGGTCAAACGCCAGCCGAATGGCAGCCATCTTGCAGCCACTGGAGTGGCTGCAAGATGGCTCCATCCTTTCACTGAATTACAGGGTCAGTCCAGGAGGTAACGCTTCTCTGTACATCTTAATGCCCACAAATTGTGACAGAAAGAATATTTTAGTACAAAGATTGATGTTTAAAAAGGAATCTTAGGGGACCAGAAAAGGACAAGCCAAGGGCCCATCAAGGAAAGGGTGAAGTTTATACAGTGATTGGACATCAGTGTTGTGTGTTGTCTCTTTGGCAGATTGACAGTTAACCCGCCAATCACAAAAGCATTTGGTGTGTGGGTGTTTCACACCCTGATGACCAGCATCAGTTCATGCTGCTTCTCTGCTCTCTTGTTTCCTCTCCTCCTGTAGTTTCCTTCTCCTCTCCTTTGGACCATTTCTGTGGCTCATGTAAACTTTTGTCACTTTGAGGGAGGAATCCAACACTACTAGAAATGTAAATAACCCAGAGTTCATTAAAACCTCACTGTCATCAATATAAACAGATGTTAGCTTGGCACATGATTCAAATGTAATATTATTTTAGAGCTTATTGCTGCTGCTGTCAAACACGTTCATGATGGTGTTAAACTGAGTTATTCAATGATGACATCATTTAATCACATCATCTTTAAGAGAACAGCTCTTAGCCTGAAAATGCTTTGCTAATGTTGATCGTAGGTGTTTCTATCCGATCCATCCCGGAAGCACGATCCGTACCATCAGCTCCTTTGCGCATGTGCAACTAGATATACATCCGGGTTTCCATAAATAATGTAATTCTGGTATTAAAAGTACTAATTTCAATCCATCACTCACTAAAGAATGCTTAGACACATCTTTATAAATGGTTTATGACTTTTCTGAGAGAATTTGGATACGTTATACATTTTCTCCATTTAACTGCTTATGTGACGCCATCATGGGACTTTCTCAGAGACGACCAGCAAAATATGATTAAACCATGTTTATCTGCATTTTAGTTGTTTCTTTCTTTAGATTATGCACTATATAACATACAGGTAACACAAAAGAAAACGAAAGTTACTACCGTAACTACGGTTCTATGAATCCCGGATGACCGCCAGAGGCGGTGCTTCAAGCACTGAATGATCATTCATGCGCATGCGCAGGTAGAGTATTAATGACAACAAAGTCAGCTGTGACCTGCCGGGGACCCACGTGACTCTATATAGTCACGTGGCACCCGGCAATCAATCCCTCAATCTTCTCGCGAAAGCAGAGATTCCGAGGGACCAAGCACTCTGGCGGTCATCCGGGATTCATAGAACCGTAGTTACGGTAGTAACTTTCGTTCTATTTCATCCCTACTGACCGCCAGAGGCGGTGCTTAAAGCACTGGATGACTCATATCAACAAGGTCACGAGGAATCAGCAACATTCAAGGAACAACGACTACACCACCCACCTAATGTGATGTAGAGGCATGCTGCTCGAGGATTCCCTGAAGCGGATGGGGCGCAGCCACATTCACCCTGTAGAACCGAGTAAAGGTACTAGGTGACTTCCAGGAGGCCGCACGGCATATAACATCCAATGGCACCCCAGTCATAGCAGCAAACGATGTCGACATGCCCCTTGTAGAGTGGCATTTCACTCCCGCCGGCAGTGGCCGGTCCTGCAAGGCATAAGCCTTGGAGATCAAATCCACAACCCAGTGTGCAAGTCGCTGCTTAGAAAGTGCCTGACCCTTCCGTGAGCCAGCGTAGCAAACAAAAAGGCTATTTGTCTTTCGGAAGGATGCCGTGGCATTGATGTATGTCTCAAGGGCACGGACAGGACACAGTGGTTCAGAGGGACTTCCGGAGTCAAACCGGGCAAGATGGAGAGGCTGGGTGCTGCCTGCTGGCAGTGATACCTTAGGAATAAATGCTACGTCAGCCCACAGTGTAATGCCTGAGCCATCAGGATTCCACCGGCAGCAGGGTTCGGCTATCGAGAGAGCCTGTAACTCCCCTACACGTTTTGCGGAAACCATAGCTAAAAGGAACGCAGTCTTCAGTGAGAGCCATTTGAGGTCTGCCGACGCCAGGGGCTCAAATGGGAGGGACCGAAGAGCCTCGAGCACAAGAGAAAGGTCCCACGCCGGTGCCACAGGGCGGTTGGGTGGGTGCAAACGCCGAGCACCTCTTAAAAACAGTACAACATCCTTGTCTCGGCCCACAGAACAACCATTCAGCCCAACATGCCAACAGGAAATGGCAGCCACATACACCTTTAAGGTAGATGGGGACCGTCCTTGATCCAGCAATGCCTGCAGGAAGGTCAGTATGTCAGAAACTGAGCACTGCACCGGGTCCTGCCCTCTATCACGGCACCAGGTCGCAAAGACCGTCCACTTGTTAGCATAGACAGCTCGCGTGGACGGCGCCCATGCATTAGCCATTGTATGCCCTATGGACCCAGTGTATCTTGAGAAGGTGGACCCCGGCCTTGCAGGGGCCAAATCCAGAGCTGGAGCCGGTCCGGTTCGGGGTGCAAGATCTGACCCCCCATCTGAGAAAGAAGGTCTCTCCTGGAGGGGAGACGCATTGGCGAGCCGGAGCTGAGCTCGCACAGTAGAGGAAACCAAGTCCTCGCTGGCCAGTAGGGGGCCACCAGCAGGACCCTGTGCCCCTCCTGACGTACCCTGAGGAGAGTCTGAAAAAGTAGGCTGAATGGCGGAAAGGCATAAAGGAGGGTCCGGGGCCAGTCATGTGCCAGAGCATCGTGGCCCAGAGGGCTGCTGTTGTCCAACGAGAACCAAAGGGGACAGTGAAATGCGTCCCTTGAGGCAAAGAGGTCCACGTCCGCCCTGCCAAAGACCTTCCAGATGCACTCCACCACCTCTTGGTGAAGCTTCCACTCCCCTGGAAGCGGCTTCTGACGGGATAGAAAATCTGCTGGCACGTTCTCCGGCCCTGGGATGTAGGCTGCTCTGAGGCTGGCTATGCGTGGAGCTGCCCAGGTCAGAAGCCGTCGAGTCAAGCACAACAGTTTCCTTGACCTCGTGCCCCCCTGGTGGTTGATGTGAAAGACCACTGTGGTGTTGTCTGACCTCACCAGCACGTGCTTCCCCCGCAAGCCTGGAAGAAAGCTCTGAAGAGCCAGAAGTACAGCCTGTAACTCCAGGACATTGATGTGTTCCCTGCCCTGCCGCTGGGACCATGTCCCCTGTGCCATTTGACCCCGCCAGGTTGCACCCCAGCCCGTGGAGGATGCATCTGTAAACACAACTTCCCGACGACACGGGAGGGAACCGAGCGGGACCCCTGTGGTCATAAACAACCTCACCCTCCATTGGGACAGAGACTGAAGACACTGAGGCCCCACCCGAAGTCTTCTGAGACGATGAGTGTTCCGTGTGGGATCCAGATTCAAGCTGTTCAACCACATCTGGAGGGGCCGCAATGACAGCAGCCCCAAGGGCACTACGGCGGACGCAGCTGTAAGCATGCCCAAGAGTCGAAGATACCGCACAAGAGGCAGCGCCACGCCGCGCCTGAATTCCGGGAGCACGCTCAATATACTGTCCACCCGCTGGGGTGACGGGCAAGCAGTCATTGAGATGGAATCCATGGCAATGCCCAGGAAGACAGTCTCCTGTGAGGGGGTCAGACTGCTTTTCTCCATGTTCACCTGCAAGCCCAAGCATCCCACATGATGGAGCACTAACCGAGTATCTCGAACCGCCTGGTCCCACGTCGCAGCACAAATGAGCCAGTCGTCCAGATATGGGAGGATCCTCAATCCCTGTGCCTGCAGAGGAGAGAGGGCCGCTGCAACACATCGGGTGAACACCCTGGGGGACAGCGAAAGTCCGAACGGGAGGACCCTGAACTGGAAATGCCTCCCTTGAAAAGCAAAACGAAGAAACCGCCAATGGGGCGGAGCGATCGGAACGTGAAAATAAGCATCCCTGAGATCTATGGAAGTGAACCAATCGCCCGGGGAAATCGCCTGCAACACTTCCTTGGTGGTCAGCATATGAAAGGGCATGGCCTTCAAGTACACATTCAGGCCTCTGAGGTCCAAGACTGGACGCAAGCCCCCGGTCTTCTTCGGAACCAGAAAATACGTGGAATAAAAGCCCCCTGGATCCAGCAGGGGGTCCACAGGCACTATAGCACCCTTGGCCAGCAAGGTGCAGATTTCTTGGTTCAGTGCCTGTGCCTTCACCGGGTCGTGGATCACAGTCATCCTGACCCGGCCAGGGATAGGTGGCCGGCGGCGGAATTGAAGATGGTACCCCCGGGACAGGGTGGACAACACCCACAAGTCCGGGGTGTGGGCAGCCCAGAAGCTGAGCTGTCCCGGGGAAAAATAACCGACCGCCGGCCCTAAGGCATCATCTGCGGGTCCCCCGGCCCTTCGAAGGCCCGGGAGGACGCCGGCCAGACTGCGCGGCTCGAAAGGGATGAAAGGACCTCGTCCCAGCCTGGTCTCGAGCTCTGTTCCTCCGATCTAGAGCAGGTCTCTGGACCGATCTCTGACCTGGTCACAGACCCTGGGGCTCAGTGAGAGAAGGAGAAGGCACTAAAGACCTCCGTGAAGGACCCGCAGCTGCCCAGGTGCTTACTGGCTGGCGATCACGTCTGTGAAGCCCTACCAGCTGTTGCCTCGTTCTAGAGGCCTGAGCCGTACGGTCCAAGGCGTCCAGTGCCGCTGAACCAAAAAGCTCCCCCGGGACCACAGGCAGGGCCCGGAGGGTCCTCCTACAAGGCTCAGTTAGTGGTGACTGCGCCAACCAGACCTGGCGGCGAGCATGAACCAGTGTGGGGAGTGTGCGTCCAAGTTCCCTCGTCATAAGAGCAAAGGCCTGCAGAGATGCATCAACCAGGCCTTGCGTGGCATGATCCAGCGGAACAGATTCCAAGGAGGAAGACAGGGCCAGCATAAGATGGGAGAGAGAGTTCCCAATCCGGCCCATGCGGGCCCCAGAGTCATAGGCCTTACAGAGAAGGTCGTCGGTAATACGGCACTGAGGACGCGGACAACGGGCATTGGGCCGCAAGGCCTCATCAGGCGGGATTATAAGAGAGGCAATGCCCGGTTCCACCGCTGGCATCTGCCCCAAGCCAACCTTGGGTGCCTCCTGCATAGCTGCCAGGACCCTGCCATCCGTCGTCAGACGTGAAAACGCCTTGGTGTCTGACCAGCAAGCATGCAGTTCCCGCACATACTCCGCCGAGGGAGGAACCACAAAGGCAGTCTCTGACCTACTGCGCCTAAAGAAGGCGCTGGAAGCCGCAGGCTGGGCCTGAGGAACACTAATCTGTAAACGGGCAAGAGCCGTTCGAATAGCGGATGTCACAGACTCCCCCGCATCCTCCTGGGAGGCAATGGAGTCCGACCCAGAGGCCCCGGAGCCCAGCTCCGGAAGGTCCTCACAGAAATGGGTGCCAGAGGCCGCCACAGAAACGGCATCGTCGTCATTGACTGACGTTTCATCCTGCTCGGTAGGGAGAGCCGTGCCGCGATCACCAGCAGTCTGAAAGGACTGGAGGAGGGCTTTCATTTGGGCCAGCTCAGTAGTGAGATGATCCACTCTGGTGGACAACCTCCCTGCATCGGTCCGTCTAGCACGCTTTGTCGGTACCGAAGGTGCAGCCACAGTAGATCGTTTGCACACCGCTTTCTCCATCGGCAAACGAGCACGCGGCGAAGCGCCCGCCCAGTCGGTAGGCTGCTCCAGTGCAGCCAACCGATCCAGTCTGACCGACCGGGGCATGACGCGACAGTTGGGGCAAGCGTCATCTGACAGCGCCTCCCGGAGATGTTCCACACCGAGGCAGGAGGGACACAAGTCATGCCCGTCATCCGGCTGAAGTGGAGCCAGACAGGTCGAGCAACATAAATTATCCAGCATCATACTGCTGAAAGGCGTGATCAGCCTGCTACCAAGGACAAGTCAACACGAGCAGGAAACGCTACTGGCGACTTGATTATTAACTAAAGATGAACTCAGCACGAGCAGAGACGCCACTGGTGAGTTTAGGCAAACAAACTATAGAAGAACCCAACGCGAGCAGAAACGCTACTGGTGGGCTTAGGCAAACAAACTGAAAACAACTCAGCGCGAGCAGAAACGCCACTGGTGAGTGTAGATAAACAAACTATAGAAGAACCCAACGCGAGCAGAAACGCTACTGGTGGGCTTAGGCAAACAAACTGAAAACAACTCAGCGCGAGCAGAAACGCTACCGTGAGTCAAAAGAGCCACAAAATTAACGTGGCAAATCAAAGCGAACAGTAAACTACTGCTGAGAAAAGAACGAAAACTTACCAGTCACCGCAGATCTGGTAAGGTGAAAGCAGCTTGTGCAGCCCCTGGAGGGCGAGACTTACCCGCAGCTCCGACCAAACCCGGTCACGGGGCTACCAGCAACAAGCAGCCAGGAAACTAGTGGTATACACAGAAGCAACCAGCTTCACACGACCACACTCCTGTACTCAACACACCTGCGCGCGAGAAGAACAAAAGGGATTGATTGCTGGGTGCCACGTGACTATATAGAGTAACGTGGGTCCCCGGCAGGTCACAGCTGACTTTGTTGTCATTAATACTCGACCTGCGCATGCGCATGAATGATCATTCAGTGCTTGAAGCACCGCCTCTGGCGGTCAGTAGGGATGAAATAGAACCATAAAACTCAAAAAGATGGTTTGAGAGGTGGTTGGTGGAGAGGTGGTTTGAGAGGGGCGTGAAGGAAGCCATCTGTGTAAAGGAAGAAAAAACAACTTTAAACAGAGGGGGTGGACTCAGATTCCAGCTTTCAAAAACCTACAATGCAGCGATTGATTTGATTCCCTTCCTGCTATCATTCCCCTTACAGGGGAACAGAAGACCTCGCCTGTTCACTTCCTTTCAGAGACATAGACAGGTATGGGGCATTGCAGGCTAACAAAGAAACCAAACGACCCCCATTCCAAAGGGGTGGACCCATTTGTTTGTTTCAATTAACACGTTTCCTAAACCAAAACAAGGCTTTGTTGATGAACTATATAAAACCTGGAACTCAACACTATTCCTGACATTTTGATTTGAAAAAGCTTCCTGGATGGAAAAGAAACGTCTTCAAACTTGGAAACAAAGTCCAGTGGATTGTTTTGTTAAACTTTTTTGCAATCAAAAACACTAGATTTATGTTTAAATTGAAAGCCAAAAAAGGCATCTCCCAGAAGTAGAGTTGGATATCATATAGATTGGGCACGGACGCGTGATAAAACAGAAAGGATTTAAATGCATTTATTTTCTCAGAAAATACACTATAACCCTTTTAACACATTATATATTTAGTACGCTTGCCATTTTGGGGAGGGAAAAAATGTAATTTAGGTATTTTTTTACAAAATAAAATCGATCCTTGATGTATATCAGGTTGTGCAAATGAGCTGATGGTGCGTATCGTGCATATCGGATCTGGTAGTGACCGTCGGAACAAGGAAGAAATCAACACCATCAAGAGGCGGGATTTCCTCAATAGTAGCCAATCACAGGCAGTTTATTTTCTTAGATTGGGTCCACCTTCAAAGTGACAGAGGTTGACATGAGTCACAGAAGCAGGTCCACAGGAGAGGAGGAGCATGGACTGACCATGTATGGTTTTAAATCAGCAGGTTCCAAATGGACATGGACAGTAAATTAAAAGCATGTTTTACATTAAACTTGACTTTTGGAAGAAGCCTGTTTTCATAGGTGGTGGGGACTTACAGCGAGGGCTGTGGAGTACGAGTTAAAGATGTTGATCCTGAACTCCTTCAGAGCTTTCTTGAAGACAACATCTACCATGGTGTCCTTTGTACCGTCTTCTGAGTCCAAGTCAGCGATCTGTGGAAACAAACTTCTTTTGAGTTGTGAAAATCTAGGAATGGGGACTATGGCTGCTCTGGTGATATCAACTCATTTAAATAAAAACTCTGGTATGAACTACTGGAGTTCTGTTTTTTTAACTCAGAGCTGATGAAACATTTTTTTCTGTTTTGACTGAGTGTGTAGAATCCCACAAAGTGCTGATTGGTGCCAGGCTGGTTGAGTTTTTAAAGTGAGGCTGAGCGCATCACCCCGCCCCGCTCTGTGAAGCATTTAGGGAAAACGTTTAATGACCTTCTTCATGAGAAATTCATTCATGCTGCGGTAGTCGTGGGCAGAGGTGAGGATGTGCAGCGAGTCGTTCTGCCACTGGGCGGGTTCCAAAGTGATGCTGCTGATCTTTAAGCTTCGCCGTCGTTTCATCTTTGGAGACGGCTCCTTGTTCTCCTTGGTGTCTCGCATTTCTCGAGAAGGAACCACTTCCAAGTCTGGGCTTCGTGGAGGAGACGTGCTTCCTAGAAGATGAAGGAAAAAACAGGCCATAGTGTACCATAACTAAAGTTTATTTACTATGCATATATGTATAAATAATTGATTATTTCTATTACCTGGCATCTCACCAGCTTCACTCCTGCTGGTCTGTTTCTCCCTTGACAGTTTTTTCTCGCCGTGTTTGGTCTTGCTCCAGAAACGCATCTTACCCCTCATCCTGCTGAACCCAAACATCCACAACAAAACAGGAGAAAGCAGTGATGAACCATGATTTTACTGCACAGGAAATAATAAAAACAACATGCTAAAGATCTTACCTGCCATCCTGACTGGAGGATTTCCTGAGGGTGTCCACTTTGCCCAGATCCCCTGATGACATGGTCTTATGGATCTTCTTCTCTTTGTGAGACTGCAGGGCAGAAAGGAGGTCAGAAAACTTTCCCTGAGTCAGTTCAATCTGGGAGGTGATAAACAGTATGGAGGGAATTTTCTTCCAATTTTGCTACAAAAAAATAAAATGCACAAATATATGTTTGAAACGGTTCAGAAAGTAACTATTTTTTCTCAGGTTTTGTTTTTTTAAATAATTCCAATCTTTTTACAGTAGTAGCAATTCAAAAGTCAGTACTGGCCATTCCCAGCCGAATGCTAGCCCACTCCCCTGCAACTCCCAGCAAAAAACCCTCCATAAACCCAACATATTTTCTGATTCTGCCTCCACCCTTTCACTGGATTACAGTCTGACCAGGAGATGATGTTTCTCTTTAGATCTTAATGTCCACAAATCATGATAGAAGAGAATTTTAGTACAAAGATTGATGTTTAAAAAGGAATTGTAGGTGACCAGTCAAGGAAAGTGGGGACATTTTAATTGGCTACTACTGTATATTGTTATACATTTTTGTATTTTTTAAACATTATCTTTAAAAATGTTTTTTTCAGAGTTTTGTTTTCAATTTAGTTTTTTTCTAATTTATTTTTATGAATTACAATCTTTTTAAATGGTGTTTTACAGATCAGAATCTCAAACGCTTGCTGTTCACCAATAAAACCAGTGGTTACCGTGGTTACAGAGACCAATAGAAACATGTTCCCACTCCTCCCTCAGTGTAAAGAAGTAAAAAAGAGAACATGATCTTGAAAACCCAATTCACTAAGACTTGATAATAAGATTTCAAAAAAACTTAATCTGAAAAAAAATCCCTGTAATCGTTTTTGAATATCCTTTGAAATGAAATATATATATATATATATATATATATATATATATATATATATATATATATATATATATATATATATATATATATATATATATATATATATATATATATATATATATATAAATTGAGAAAACAGTAGCTATTCTCAAAAATTTTTTTAGTAAGAAGTTTTTCTTATTTTTATTTCTGTAATACATTTTCTTTTAACTTCCATTCATTTGTTTGCAGCAGTAATGGAACAAAATTCACTCCATAATTTTATAGATCCTCCCCAGGACAATGTCTTTGGTCACATTTCTGCCATAAAGAAAGAGAACATCTTATTTCCAGATGAGAATAAGACCCAACACAAAGCAGTGCATAACCCTTTAGTTTCTACAAATGACAAAGGTTTGGTGTGTGCAGTAGTTAGACCCCTGAAATCCTCCCATGTTTTGTCCTGTTAGCTGAGCCTCTGGACATGTTCTCCAGACATCAGAAAGAGAAACTTCTTCCAGTCAATCAACCTTTACATACAGATTACTTTAAGCAATTAAAGTATTTTCTAGGTCCGCAGATCAAAAGAAAATAAAGCATCTTAAAAAAATGCCTGAAAGACTCAATCACTGACAGGAAAACGGGGAAGAACACCTGATAAAATTAGACAGTGGGAAAAGTAAAATACTGAAGATAGTCTGAGAAATTCCTCACATGGTATTAAAGCTAAAAAGATGATTTTTTTTTCTTAAAATGAATCCTAAAACATGGAGGCCGCCAGTCCAGAAGGACAAAATGTGCCTAACATCGCTCAGTTCCTTTTAGCAAACATAGAGGCTGAACATGGTTGAATGCAGAGAGCTGATCAAAGCAGTAACCACCGTTCAAAAGGCCAATAAAAGGCAAAAAGCATTTAACCTTTGTTGATTTGGGACAACAGCACTGCTGCATCCTGAAAGCTGACCAGATTTCATCGCTCTATTATTCCCTTTCACATGTAAGAAGTGAATCCTCCTCAAGTTTTTACACCATTTGAACCGTTGAGCTGCTTCCGTACACAAAGGCTTCCTCATATCTGTGTATGGGACTTCTTATGCTCTCTCCATGTTCAGTTCTGCACTGAACGGCGCTAGTCCTGCTTCAAATATTCTTCCTGGTCTGTCAGAGAACAGCCGGATCTATAGAATCAAAAGCATCATTTAGCATCTAGGTGATTCCTGTAGGCATTTGGTCGCAGTGGCTAACGTATACACCACACACCTTTTCCAGAATCAAATTTTCTTTGCAATTCCTAATCATGCACCAATTTTGTGTTGGTCTATCACATCAAATCTGAATATACTTGTGGTTTAAGAAAGAGAAACTGAAGTTGACCGTAAAAAGACATTTACAGTAAATTGCTAACAGCAACAGAACAGGAAGACAAATGTTTGGCTAAAAATGAAGTTAGGAGATGAATTTAAGTGTTTGATGGAAGTTTTAACAGTTCATAGCATGCAGGAGAGGCATGCGGTGCAACATGCGATGCATGCCAGGATATAAGAGGACAAAGCCTTTTACTGCATGACATGACCTTTGTAGCCAGAAAATAATCAAATATTCAGTAGTTTCTAATAATATAATGTCCAACCCTGACAGTTTGAATCCTTCATTTTCATCCAAAAGTGACAGAAAACCATTTTAACGTAATAAAAAGAATATAAAACAAAGACACCTCTAGATAATTTGACTACAGCGGATTTAAATCCCCTTGTTGGCAGTAAATCCCTCTTTAGAAAGAACAGGTGAGATGAGGAAGGCGGTGATGTCTGGAGACGACTTAGGATCCGTTATGTGCAAGACCATGCTCTGCAGAAGGCAGGACTTCTTCACCATCACTGGTGACCGGAAACATAACGTGTCAATTAGGTTAGTTCAGAAACACCCGTCTGTGCAGCAGCCGGTGGTGAAAGTGGGATTAGCATTGTTAAAGGAGCTCCGCCCCCTTCGCCGCATGTGCTCAGATCCACCCAAGGAAAAAGAAAAACAGGGTGGTAGAAGGCGGGGGAGCAGAGTGGACAGGAAGCTCGTCTGGAGGTCAAGGGACCCCTGCAGATCTGGTGTTTTACCATCTCAGAGTCACTGTGACAGTCGTGGTCACGGTGGGCTCGTGGGGGAGACAGGGAGGGGGGCAGCGTGCAGGAGTGGGCGGGGACGTAGTATACATCATCGTCGTCGTCCGACTGGGTGGCCCCCTCGGAGTTACAGCGGGTGAGGAAGTCGGAGCGCGTCCGGGACATTCGAGCTTTCTTTTTGGGGCCGGGTGGGCCCACCTGCTACCAGGTAACCACAGACACATCAGCACTCTGAAGCCACGGACGTGTTTGGAGGCAACTCATGCAGCTGGTTACAAAACTTTCAACATGAAAATGAATGTGACCTCCGTGTGTGCATGCAAAAGATACAGCAGGTTTCTCACCTCTCTGTTTCTAGATCCTGCAGATTTAGAGTCGTCTCTGTGCATAGAAAGAGAGAGAGATCTCTCCTGGTTCACCAGGTCCTTATCCGACCTGCAACAGATAGCCAAGTTCACCGTCAACAACCGGAAAAATTGTCTTCCTGCCAAAGTCTACATCTTCTCTATTCATTTCAAGTGTTGCTTTTGAATCTAGCATAGTGCATTCACTTTTCTACGGAGTGAAATTTGTTTCATTAATGTAGCAAAAAGGTGTTTTGTAATTCATAATGATAAAAATGCAATCTAGAGATGACGTTTCAAAGAACATCTTAAGCAAAAAAACAAACAAATAATAGCTGTTTTTTGGGGATTTTCATTTTGAAATTATATTTTTCCAGTTTATTTTATTGATATTTTTATTGGTTTTAATCATATTTTCCCCAGATTTTCTATCAGATTAAATTATAAAAAATGCACTTTTTATTTGATGAGAGTAAGTTAATAGAATTTGATCTGTTTCATTAAAAAAATTTAAGTTGTCAATCTTAAATCTGAAAAAAATAAAATTCAAAAGTATAAAATCTGTAAAAAAAAAAACAAAAAAAAAAAAAAAAAGCAAAAAAAGTGTAAATAACATTTGAAATAAATTTGCGAAAAAATGGCGAAAATAAATAAAATGATTAAGTCTTTCAAAGCTATATTTCTGGATGCATTTCTTTAAAATTTCAGGTAAAAACATATTATTTGCTAGTAACAAAAATGGAACAAAATTCACTCCGTATTTCTTTGGTTATTTTGAGTTATATTACAAAACAAACTTCAAGGCTTTTTGTGTTTGTTTTTTTGTGAATATCAAACACAAAACCAATATCTAAAAACTTCAATAAAAACTGAGGCAGGGGAAATAAAATATTGAAGAGACTTTTGTATTCAGTCGCAGACAGCCGTTTTTTTAGGTCTGGACTTTGACTAGGCCTTTGGAACACATGAATTAACTATAAAACGACTATGGTGCTGCGTTCAGTGTCGGACCACAGAGCTTCAACAGAGACTGAATACAGAAAGAATCATCAAGCTTATTCCATGACTTTTGCTTTCTAACTGTCCTCTGATGCCTTCATGCAACGGCTGGATTTAGACTGACATCAAATGCCTTTCACAGGGAGCTGGCTGTGTTTTTTTCATGGGTGTGTGAATAACAGTGCTTCACGCCTGCACATCACATTTTTCTTATCAGTGGTTGTGAAATGACAAGCTGAAGGAAAGGGAGCTGTTTTAGCAGGCAGTGGAAGCAGAGCGGTGCCAAACCTTTACTCACTTGGAGAAGGGCAGCTTGCGTCTGGGCTGAGGAGCCGCAGCTCCGGCGGGTTTCTCCACCATGTTGACAATCACAGTCTGAGCGGAGCTCTTCTTCTGGGCTTTTGGGGGCTTGGTGTCTAGTGTCTGGCTCGGAGCCTCCTGCGCTTGGCGGATGGTCTTCCTTTCCTGTTTTGCTAAGAGAGCAGAGGGAACACTGGACTTTGGTTGGACATCCACCTTTGAGGGACGAAGTTCTGGTTCCTCCGGACCCTCTCTACGCTTTGAGGGCTTTTCCATCCCAACTGCTTCATTGTTTTCCTGTGGGAAGACTTTAGGTTGCTCTTTGTGTGTTGGTCCCTTTAAGTGTTCTGTAGCAGAGGAACAGGAGCCAAACGGCTGAGGAGCTGCCAGCAGCTTGCCTTCCTCCACTGGACTCTCTTTCTGCATACTGATCAGCACCACCACAGGCCTCCTGGAAACCGACTCCTTCCGGTCTTTGAGAGATCTGCTGGGACTTCCCTTAGTGGGTTTATTAACCGGACTCTGGTCAGAAGCGATGTAGAACTTTGCCCTGGGTTCCTCTGACTCGTTTGTGGGTTCACTCACAGGTTTCTCATTGTGGTTTGAATCTCTGAGAATTTGGGTCTGTTGGTGAGTCTGTTTAGAGACGGGTCCACCAGAACCTTCCGTCTCCATCTCATCCAGGCTGAGCATCTCGAAGCTGCCCTGACTAGCCGGCGATCCCTGAGGTAAAACTTGATCATGGTGGTCCTCCCTCTGAGGGACACTGCCGTCAGAGACCACATCCTCTGACAGAGAACCCCCCATGCAGGTGGTTCGGACTTTGAGGAGCTCCAGAGAGAACTGAGCCTGCTCCAGCTCTCTCATACGCCTGCTCTCTCGCTTTGACCGGTTCTTATGGCTCATCTCTTCCACGTTCCTAAATCGCTCAAAGTCCTCCGCTCGTTCCGTCTTGGTCGGATCGGGGTCCTCGGACGAGTCCACACTGACAGAATTGTCCAGTCCAGATGAGACAAAGTCGTCCACATTCCCAGCGTCCATCTCTGTGTCTGGTCTGTTGAGTGTTTGGCTCTCCTCCTTTAGATGTTTAAACCTGGAGACAATTTAAAATAAAGTGTTAACATCCTAACAGAGCTAAAGAAAAAAAACTATACTTTTTATGGCCACAGGGGGGCAACAAAACAACAGGATTCATTTATCCTTTTAAATAAAATAATCAGAACGAGAGGGAAAATTGTGAATTGCAGAAAAACATTGTTATGTAATACTTTGAAAATGTCCTCTATTTTTTATTTTTATTTATTCCTTTATTTAACCAGGAAAAGTCCCATTGAGATTAACAATCTCTTTTTCAAGGGAGTCAAGACATCAGATTTGCATTTTGTACGAAAAATAGACTTTAAACTCCCTTGATGGGTTTGTATCTCCTTAGTCATGTACATAAAAAACTATTTAAGGTCAGATGACCATACCCTTAAAAAAAAACACCAAAAAGTAAGCAAGGAAATAGTTTTTTTGTCCATGACTAAAGGGATACACACGTACAAAGCTAAAGGGATAAATGGGGATTGACTATGGGTATGCTGGTCTGATCGGGTATGCTCATCTGACAGAGCACCGTTTTACATGCAAAGTTTATGGTCAACGTGCATCAAAAGGTCCTGCAGTGCGTCTCGGGCAGCAGGAGCAGCGCCTCGTGAGCTTCTGAGGCGCGTGACGCCCTTCATAAGCAGCAGCTGCTGTAGTTTGAAAATCTGAACTTTTGCTGCTCGATGCGCCGCATCAACCAATCAGAGAAGCTGATCTGGGAGCTGGCAGGGAGACAGACGCAGCACTGCTGATGCAGAGCACTATGATCACTCCTCTGAAATAGTTCATTAACAGCTAAATTGACTTAAAATGTCGAAACCTGACGGCAGAATATGTTTGCTTTTATTGTGCTATTGCCTGCAGTTTGGATTACGTACATGAAAAACGCTAACATCTACTTCCAGCCGTGAAGAACAGTAGCAGAAAATCTCCAAGGGGCGAGCGGGCCTAAAGCATCTGCAGCTGGGGACTCCCAGTGACAGCGCACCTTTATTATGTGGGGGCAGGTTTGTAATCTTGATGAACTGACTGCACAGACGAGGTTTTCAGGTGAACTTTCTCACTTAAAAACATATTAAAACTATTTTATATCCATTCATCACAGCAAATATAGCAAAGCGGCTCTCTGCCATTGAACACAGGAGCAGCAGAAGCTTGTTTGCAGCTGAAAACGCATTTGGTGTCAAAGTAGCACAAGTGTTCAACTAATAGTAGCATGGTGGTGGCAGCGTCATGCTGAGGGGATGTTTAGCAATAGTACAAAGTGGGTGAAGGAATGTCTGAGGAGAACTTCCTCCCAACCTATAAAGTTGTTTTTAAATCATGTTAAATCAGTTGGAAACTTTAACAAAGAGCATAACGAAAACAAGCAAACTATTTCTCTTCTGTTTTATGATAATAAGCCAGAGTTTTGATGAAAAAAACTCTCCTCCATCATGAAGGAGGTAAACTAAGCAGTAACACATTTGGATTTTTAACCCGTAACTTAAAAATTGGACAAAATCCGCAAAAAATACGAACTCCTTTTATATTAAGAAAACAGTTAGAGGTAAGATAATCATAGATTCGATCTAATCCACATCCTCATGCATAACCTCACCCACCTGACTCGGGCCAGATATCCTCGGCTCATGGCCTGGAGCTGCGTTACAGATTGGCGTGCTCTACAGAACCGGTTCTTCTCCCTGACCCGTCTCCACGCCGTCTGAATGATCACAGCCGCCCGCACCCTCCGATGGTGGCAGCAGCTCCTCCAGCGCCGCTGTATGGTGATGGCAGAGGCCCGCCACTGCAGGAACCTCCTGCGCTCCTTGTATCCCCTCCACGCTGCCTGCAGACAAACCGCTGCCGCCTCCTCAACGCTGGAGTCAACCGCAGACTGCCTGAGGAGGCAGGAGCGCCACCAGCGCTGCAGAGAGATAGAGAGAGAGAGGGGTTAAAATGGAGGTGATGGAGAACATATTTCCATCTAGAGGAGAGTATTTCAATCTTCTAAGGGTCTGAATATGATAAACGTAGATCTGGAGGAAAAATAGCTGTGGGACAAACCCCCCCACCACATCCAATCACCTGGATGACCTGCGCCGCTCGTCTCATGCTGACAAAGTGTCTTCTCTCCAGGACGGCTCTGAAGCGCCGCTGCAGCATGACAATTCGCCGTAGCACTTCCTGGTGAAGCAGGGTCTGCAGACGCTGGCGCTCCGCCTCCCGCAGGAACACCTAACATTGTAGTGCAAGATGAGCAGTTGAGAAGAAAGGATGGAAGAACATGGTATCTTATCTCCAGGAGACACACCATGGTGTGGCCCACTTGGTAGCCAGCAGGGGGCAGGTGAATCCGTCTGAAGAACTCTCTGATCCCAGACTTGGTGGGGCTTGTTTTCCGAGGAAGCAGCACATGAAAGTGACTCACAAACTCCTGGATGACAGAAACAGAGGATGTTAACGACAGAAAGCGGCTGCTTCCTCTGCGGCGTAAAGCATGCAGGTCCAGAGAGGATCACCTGGAAGGTGTACTTGATGCTGTATCCTGACTGACGGATCCGGACCGTTTCCAGCATTCCCGTGTACCTCAGCTGTCTAAGAACCAGGCTGTCGTTGAAACGTAGCGGCAGCTAAAGGAACAGGGGAAGCAAATGAGTGGGTAGCAAGGAATCAGGAGGACTGTTTTATGAGGACTTCATTAGGACAACAAGAGTTGTAGGAAAAACCTTCTCAGCGTTGGAGCGAATGCACTTAACGAAGTACGGCTCCGACTGATCCAGAGTCTCCATCAGCTTATTGAGGGAAGCCTGGACACAGAACCACAACTAGGTGAGCTCACATCCATCCACAGCCATACATCCATCCATGTTCTCCTTATTTTGTTGTAAAACATCAGTTCTTCGAGCAGAGGGCGTCACCGACCTGGAACTGAGCACTGATGCTGGGTGGTTTCTTCTTCTTGTGCAGATGGAGCAGTGACTTGGTGATGCGGTCGTGGAGCGTCACGCTGCTCAGATAGCGCAGAGACTTCACATCCAACAGGTGCTGCAGAAGAAGCAGGAACCACATCAATCTTCATTTAATGGATCCCTGCTACAGTTTTCTGAACTCATTGTTCTTTCAGGTACATTTCTTACCTTAGGAAGTGTTGGTTTGCTTTTGCAGTTTTTGTTTCTCCTAAATAAGAGATGCAGTGGTTTAAATAGCTGCACAAACTGCTGAATGATGTTTTTATGAGTGTATTTTACTCACAGTAGGATACCCTGAGCTCTCTCCAGGAGTTTGCTGCTGCCCAGGTTTAGGAAGATCCCTTCATCCTCATGGACAGAGTTTCCTGGTGAAGAGACGCGACCCGACCGCATGCTACGACCATTACACCCAACGCCGTAGCCATCCCTACACAGGGACATAAAGGAGGAGCACAGTGAAGGATAGTGATAAAGACATCATTTCTGTTCCCGTCATGATCAGATGAGCTTCTGTTCTCACCAGCTGGCCTTCTCATTCAAGGCGTTGGTGCCTTGGAGGTCCGACAAAGGTGTTCGCGGATTCTTCCGTGCAATACCTGGAATTAGAGAAATCAGAGGCTGATGGGCTTTTGGTGTTTAATTGAACAGATTTTTCCAAGGGTCAAACAAACAATTACCGGTACTTGGATTGTATTATTATACATATGAAGCACACAGAATTTTGCACTTATAACCACTAAACATATTTAGTTAAATGTTTATCCATAAGTTAAACCTGAAACTTAGTGGATAGGGAATATGCTTTCCAGCATTGTGTAAACATTTTAGACCCCCGCTGTCATTAAAAACAGGCAGGACCAGCAGTCAGATTCTCTTTAAGGAAAATAGGAAAGCTGATCACTAAAGTTAAGCTTCAGCTCCAGTTTTCCCAGCTTAAGTCCAGTTTTATCGCTCTTGGAATAAAACAACTTTTTCCCCCTTTTAACACTTCAACTTGGTCTTCGCTGGGAGTTTCACACTCGCTCACCTCCATTGCTTCAGCTTACCAACCAATTGTTTGGAAAACATGACAAGAAATCTTATTTTGAATGTTAGCAGAAAAACATCCGACGGATTTCCTTCATGCTTTTCATGCGAATTACAAAGAGATACAGTCAATTTGAGGGATAAAAAATAGGGAAAACACAATGAGGCACCCAGAAAGATCCAGAAAATTGAACTGATACTGAGCTGCTGCAGTGCGGAGGAACTCAGCTTTTTATGCAGTTTTCATTTCTTTTTCACAACAATACCCAGAATAAAAACATCAAGGAGAGATTTATCATTTAACTTACTGTATTTTTCATCTTTACACCTCTGAAGGATCTCAAGGCTCCTCTGGTGAACCGGGTGATGTATGAAACTGAAGCTGTCAACAGCTTTGACCACAGGGCATGGCCCTGCTGCATCATTCCCTAAAACAGGAACAAAGAAAAGCATAAGATCCAGGCTAAGCTCAGACTGTTTTAGTAGTTTTAGCCTGAGAGCTGTAATACGTGAAACACTCCACATTACATTTGAACCTAACCTGCTTATAATTAACTCACTAAACCTGCCCTATGGGAGCAACCAGGTATGCCCTGACCAAGATCATTAATGGTGATAACGAGGTTTGAATAAACATTATCCAATAATCTGATTAGTAGCCTCAAAGTGCATTAAAATCCCACTAAACTGTACAGTTTTACATGGTCTACTTAAGTGCTGCAATTTCTGATTCTAAGGAATGATGCTAACAGTTGCATTAGCAGTTACTGCAGGAAGGCCTCAACAGGTTCCTCCAACAGAGTTAGCTTGGTTCAGAGATCCGCAACAATTTTGTTTTACTGTCTAAAACACAGATTACGTTATTATTTGTGTCTAAAAATATACAAGTCCTTCCACATGCAGCCACAGCAGTGCTAGGCTAACATTAGCATGTTTTCTCATTTTTTGATAAGACTTGTTGATAACAGGAATATTTTAAAGCTATGACAATGTATTCCAAAAAAGTTAATAAACAATCCACTGGACTTTGTTTCCAGGTTTGAAGACGTTTCGCTTCCCATCCAGGAAGCTCTTTCAATTCAAATGTCCAGGTTTTATAAAAAAATTTAAAACGGATGAACGGGTCCACCCCTTTGGAATGGGGGGTCGTTTGGCTTCTTTTGTAGCCTGCAATGTCCCATACCCGTCTATGTCTCTGAAAGGGGAATTGCTGGCCTGGCTGAACAGGTGAGGTCTTCTGTTTCCCTGTAAAGGAGTGGGGATTGCGATGAGTGTTGCACCGATACCGATAAAGGTATCGGGCAGGGCCCCCTTCCAGCACTAAAATGGTGGTATCGGTATCGGACAGTACCAACAAATAGGGCACTGATACCATTTTGAGAGCCAAAAGTTTATTGAACTGTTGTCACCCATAAAAAGTTCAACTGGATTCACTTTGTATTAGTCTGTTTCCTGCTTCACAAAGGTAGGCAGCAGCTTGACAAAGCCATCCACATAGTGTGCAGTTCTTCATATATACACACAAACATCAATTTCAAACAGATGATATCGGTATGGTAACGGTCGATGGTGGACAGCCAGGTATCGGGGCCAAAAAATGGCATCGGCGCAACACTAGTTGGGATGATGGCAGGAAGGGATAAAGTCAATTGCTGCATTGTAGGTTTTAGACAATGCAGTTGTGTTCAGTCAATTTCTTCAAGTTTATAATGTCGTTTCCAATGTCGTAAAACTTTTAAGCAGTGTTTTAGCTGCTGTCTGTGTGGTCTGCGTCTCCTGACACAGACAGCGTTCTCATCAGTGCACGCCAGGTCATTTTATAAAGTGAAATACTCTAAAGTTAGAGAAAACACATTTAGGTAAAACAATGTAGACTTTAAAATGGTCTTCAAAGATAGCACTTCAAGTTATATCCAATTTGCTAGCTTGGTAATACTAGTGACCACAGGCAGGACATCAAGCAATTGGATCAGATGCTGAGATCCATTTGCGATGCTCATTAAAAAATGTCATTAATTAAAACCCAGATAGGATAAGATTCTCCGTCATTTCAAATCTCCGGCTCATTCTTTGACTGTGCCTCACCGGGCTTTTTGTGGGTGTGTCTGCGGCCGGCCTCCCTGAACGCCACCATGGCTCTGAAATAGGCCCGCAGCACGGCCCAGCGGAAGGTGGCCACGGGGTCGATCCCCATCAGGCCACAGATGAAGGCATTCTTGCTGCTCTTCAGCAAGGCGACGATATCGGGCCTCATGTGGTCCGTGTTCTTCTCCCTGAAGTCCTGAATAAAAGAGCAGATTTTAGGGATTCCTCGCTGCAGCTCTAATTATTTAGTCTTTTCTTTATGTTCTAGAGCAGAAGTTCACATGAGTTGTTTCAACATAAAAAACAAAAACAATTGGAACAGTTTTCTTTCTGAAGTAGTTTTACTGTTTGTTAGGCAGTGGAAAACATTTAGTCATGGCCGAATGTTTTACTGCTGGTATAATTATGGGATTGGAGTAAAAACTAACTTTTCACAATCTCAAACATGCTTTTGTTCAAAATACATTTTTTTAACATGTCAAATAAATAATTATTAATCCCAGCAGCATTACAATATAACTTGATAAAATGTGAAAAGCTCTGAAATTCGCCTCAATAAAAATATACCAGAAATACCAAAATAATGGGGCAATAAACCAAATCCCCCATTTTTGGCCAATTGGCCAAACTTTATGAAACAAAGTCTGCTGTTATAGAGGGGAGTGGTGGTGGCAGCATCATGCTGAGGGATTGGTTTTTCTCTGCAGAGATAGGGATGCTGATCAGAATTAACAGAATCATGGACGAAGCTAAACACCTGGAAATCCTGGGAGAAAATCTCTTAAAGGACCAGAGCAGAAATACAGCAAAGACTACAGCTGTAGGACCTGTGTGTCTGAAAGGCTAAACACTTCAATCCAACAGACTATATATTTATGACTGCTTTGCAATCCAGCCTGACTGTGTCAACCAACAAACTACAAATATTTTGTTATGTTACTTAAGTAGACATTTTGGCTATCTATACTCTTTTGCAGTATTTTTTTTTGTTGATGTTTTACTTCTACTCCTTACATGTTAAAAATGTTATTTTTGTTTCATTTGAGCTAATTTTCCTTATGGCCCGTTAGTATTTAAAATAAATAAAAAACATTAAAATAATTGTTTTCATCCAGACAATTTCTTTATGGATGGACTCGGTGCTGCCCCAACTTGTTGCTCACCACATACCAAAATAAATTGTTTTTCCAAGATGATGTAAAGTTAAATTTGACACCGTAAGAAAATTAAGTAAATGTAAAAATGTTCCTTCAATAGGTTAGTGCAGAAAAGCATCTGTCTTCAACATTTTTTTCCTGCATTACTTTTACTTTTATACTTTAGTTTAAAAATGGTACCTTTACATTTACTTGATTAAAAAGCTTAATTTGATCCTCTAACTTCTCCAAAAGTGTTTTTAAATAGTAGAATTTATACTTCTAGTTGGGTAATAAACTTTTGACACCTCTGGCTATGATGCGAGGAGAATGGACCGCGTTTCCATTCTGAAAAACTTTGCAAAACTGCAAAACAAGATAATTTTAGTTAAGTTAAAGCCTTATTGGTTTCAGCACCGCAGCTTTTCCACAGCCGTGGAAACCAGCTGTTATGGATTTATATCATATAGCCAAACTGCAATACACTGGGCCCGCTGCAGCACATGTGCTACTTATCAGCACACAGCTGGGAAACAGAACCGGGTCCACAGAGCAACAAGTAGAAGAAGCTGTTGGTATTTCTGACAGCAGCTCATACAGTGATCCTTTAACCCTACTGTACTTTTGGTAATCTCATGTAATTTAGATGCCACTTACAGAAACATTAACCAGGTAAACAACGCCTTAATGACTTCTGGTTGCAACAGAAGCAGCTCTCTCACTATACCCAGATTTCCTGGCTGCATTCGATGAGAGAATGTTTCTCTAGGAGAAGCTTCCCAATCCTGAGCGCAGCTGTAAATCTTCCCACAGGACAGCTGTGCTAAAAAGCTCTGAAACGGATCCATTTGCAGTGTAACACAACAACCTTTCAATGAATGGGATCTTTTCTAGCAGCTGGAAAATGTAGAGAAAAATTCATTTTTAGATTTGAGTGAGGATTATTTCAAGGTTAAATAAAAAATATGTGTAAAACCTTTAAAATAAAGATCAAAGGGAAGCTGACAGATGCTTCAGTTTTATAGTCCATATTTTTAATTCTATTCAGTTTATTTCTAAAGCACCAAATCACAACATGTCATCTCAGGTCACTTTACAGTTTAACCAGATCATCCAGTCAGATTGATTCAAAGTTTTCTATCTAAGGAAAACCAGTTGATTGCATCGACTCATTGACTCTTCAGCAATCCCTCACACTAAGCATGCTTGTAGTGACAGTGGAGAGGAAAAACTCCCTTTTAACAGGAAGAAACCTCCAGCAGAACCAGGCTCAGTGTGAGCGGCCATCTGCTGAGGCCGACTGGGGTTCAAGGAGACAGAAGCAGACAATTTTCAATAATTGTCACACTCTAATTCCCCTGCAGTCTAAATATGACATGGATCATCCCATCAGCTTCTCCTCAGAACGAGAAAGATAAGAGAACATGAGAGCTTGCTGCTTGATGTCAGCCACTAGCTTAAACTCCAGGCTAATCTTACCAACATGCAAGGATGATCAAAAAAAGAAACTAAATAATTAAGTTGCCATGACAATGGTAATATAGCATAGGTTGTAAGGTAGGAGAAGCCTTTTCTATCCCATCATCAAATTTAAAGAAGTGGAGATTGCTAAAACATTCTGTTTTGCATAGATGCCTACTGTTAAGTAATGAGACTAATGTTAAATTGTAAATAACGGGTCAATCAGCTGGATACTGATCCAAACTAAACAGCAGACCCACAGAGAAGAGCTTCAGTGGAACCACAATCTACCTTCTTAGTCTTCATCTCAGTCCCTCAGCCTCAAAATAAGAAAAGCAGCTCAAGTTGTCTCACCTTGACTCCGTACTTGACTTTACCGGCATAGTGCCGGATGATGAAGGCGGGCTCCATGACGGCGGGGAAGTCAATGTAGCTGTTTCCTTCATGCTGACGCTTGAACTTGTCCAGCAAGGTCTGATTGGAGGCCTGTGGGAAACTGGAAGGACATTTTTCATGCAGCGGCTGACAAATGTCCCTGTTAAACTTAAAGCAGAGAGAAAGCTCAACTTATCAGGCATTATAAGTGGAAGGGACATCTGACCTTCTCGTTACATTAAATGTTACGACTACTTAATAAAGGCAGAATATCTCAACCTGCAGCGACTCTGCTGCTCCAAATGAAGGACTCCAGAAAGCTTCAAACCTTAAACCCATAAGGAAAATATTCCCTCACAAAATCCCAGATGTGGCCCAAATCAGCCCCTGGGGCTCTGCTGCACTTTCTTCTTTGGTGGTTTCACCTTTGATTCATGACATCTCAGCTATCAGCTGATAACCTTTGCAGGCTGGATCAACATTCCAGGAGACATTTCAGATCATCTACCTCAACTCCCTTCGCCTCGTAAAAACACCGCAGGTTAAAGAATATCCTCCCGGGTCATAAGGTTCAATGTTGTTGTTGTAGAGAAGACATCATACCCCCCCCTCTCGTGAGGAGCCTCTCGTGAGGCCTTGGATCCCCGCTAGCTTCACCAACTGTGAACATTTTAACAATCAACCAATTTGGTAAGAAAGACTGTAAAGTGTGGCTGCCTCTTCTCTCTTTCGCCTTCCATAGGTCTGCTGTGAGGTAGTCTACTTGCCCTCTGTTCTATGGACACCTCAGAAGGTTTTTGTTAGACAAGATTAGTACAGGTCAGGCTGAGATGGTTAAAACTAGGTTACAGCATGAAATAATATCCAACTTGCTAAAATGTAGCAACAACTTTAAGAGACCAATTAGCCCAACAATCATGGCTTTAGATTGTTGAAGGAAGTCAGAGTACCCAGAGAGATCATTCATGTGTGCAGGGAGACATTTTGATTGTTTCCCAATGATTCTAATGCTACGTTCAAACCGCACGCAGCAGAAGCAGCCAAAATGCACGTGCTGCTTCATTTTTTATGCTTGTACAACGTTAGTTCTTATGCGCAGTTGAAGCATCTTTGCTGCCCTAGCTGCACAGTGGATGTCTACGGTGGTGTGATACTCTATCCTTTCTTTGCCTTTAACAATGGGGGGTAAAATCAAAGAGTTGCTTGGCTTATTTTAATAATGCTACCTTCAGACCGCAAGCAATGGAAGCAGCAAAGAAGAAGCTGCTGCCTCATTTCTGATGCTCGTCCACATTAAGGTCAGACGGCCAGTAAAGTGTGTCCAGATGCGTCTGATGCTTCTGGACACTATTGTTAAAAGAGCAGCTTTGCTATATTTATTGTGATCAGTGGGTAAAAATTAGTTTTAATATATTTTTATGCAAGAAAATCCACCTCAAAACTTGAACTCTGCAGAAAGTTCATCAAGATTACGATCCTGCCCCAAAATATCTTTTGCCGTCTGAGCCGCTCAGACCCCTGTACACCGGCAGAGCGCTGTCACTGGGAATCCTGTTCAACAGCAGCCTCTGGACGGGTCACTTCTTCACAGTTTTCCTCTACTGTTTATGGCGGCTGGAAGGAGTTTTTCACTTACGTAATCCAAACTGCAGGCACCAGGATAATAAAATTGAACATATTTTGCCAGCAGGTTTCGACATTTGAAGTTAATTTAGGCGTTAATAAACTGTTTCAGAGGAGTGACCATAGCGCTCTGCATCAGCAGCACTGTGTCTGTCTCCCTGCCAGCTCCCTGATGTGGCGCATCGGGCAGAAAAAGTTAAATTTTTCCAACTCCAGCATCTGCTGCTTCTGAATCGTGTCTTGCACGTCAGATGCTCAGAAGCTCACGAGGCGCTGCTTCGGCTGCTCAGGTGCTTCATGATGCGGCGCTCCTGCTGCTCTAAACGCGCTGCAGGACCTTTTCCTGCACTTTGATGCTCGTCAGTACTGCTGCTTCTGCAGCGTGCGGTCTGAATGTAGCATAAGCACCCTTTGTTTTTATGGTAAGATCCTGTCTGATTCTTACTTGCACTCCTCGTCCAGCAGGTGGAACAGAGCCGTGGGTTTCTTGCTGATGAGGTTGAGGCAGCCACTGTTGTCGATGTAATCGATGTTGTGCCACGTGATACCCTCCGCCCGGTACTCCTCCTGCGAAGAGAAAACACCTCCATGAAACCGTAATGCTGAAAGTTAAGAAGTGACTAAAAGATTATTACAGTCACTCAGTAGAACCAATACGCTTCTTAGATCATCTATAAACATTGCATAAGAGTCAACTCAATATGATTGAAATGGGGTTTAGATAAAAAGAAAAAAGAAAACCTTTCCTATGGTTAAAACAGAACTATAAAATGCAGTAAAACCTTTCCATCGGTTACTTTTTTAATCATGTTTGTGTATTTTGTGAAATAATTGCCCAAAGCATCAAGTCTGCCAAACATCTGCCTGTATTTTAAATGGGCTGAAAAAGCAGCTGTGGCTAACTACTGGACGCCCTCTTATTCTATGGCTCTGGGTTAAACTGTTTATTAGAACAGATTTTAGATTCTAGCCTTTAAAGAAGGGGTGGCTAATCCCAGTTCCTGTAACTTTTAGATCCATCCTTGGTCCAAAACCTGAATCAAAAGGCTGAGTTTCCTCCTCAGTAAGCTGTCGTTCTTTCAGTTCTCTCAATCATCTAATCACTTGATTCATGTTTTTGAACCAAAGGCACATCTAAAAGTCCAAGAATGCCGGTGTTCTGTCAGACCAGCATACCCATAGTCAATACCCGTTTATCCCTTTAATTTATCCCGTTTGTTTCGTACAAAAAATAGACTTTGAACTACTTCAACAGGCGTGTATGCCTGTAGTCATATAGAAAATTAAATAGTTTTTTTTACATGACTAAAGGGATACACGCACATTAAGGTAGTTTAAAGTCTATTTTTCGTGCAAAACTAAATAGATAAACGATAATCTAACGTCTTGCGCCAGCGTAATGACTATGGGTATGCTGGCCTGATGAAGTATGCTCATCTGATAGAGCACCGGCCCTTAGGAACTAGAATTGTCCACCCCTTTTATTAGGTCTTTGGGACACAGACTATGATAACATGCGTCAGATTATTTTTTTTATTGCTGCGGATTCTTTCCATGCTTTCAAACCCAAAAAAAACAAAGATTTTACTGAACTAGAATCAGAACCAAATAAAAGGTCAACAGCGCATCGACCGCCATTAAAAGCACCATCGGGGAGAGAGCTGATGGCCTCTCCAGACCAGTGACAGCTGTGGCCGCGTCCCTCATATTGTCCCCAAGGGAGAAAGAAAACACCGACTTCTCCAGTTTGGACCTGAAGTGGAAGAAATCGTGTGGGTTGGGTATGTGCCTCACGTTCCCTGCTGCAAGTGAGGACGGCGTTCAGGCACATTTAACAAAGCTATGTAAACAGCTCTTGCTCGGGCAGATCACTGGTCACAGTGGACGGCTGAGAGACACCAAGACCAGGCAAACTCAAAACAACCAGCGGTAGCAAGCTGAGCGGGGAGCTGCTATCAAGATGATCAGTGGAAAACAGAAAGGTGGTCAAGTAAAATATATAAACAAACAAAAATCTGTTTATTCATAACTCTACCAGAATTTTTAACAACCTGAAAGAATGGCTCCTAAAATTAATAATCAGTCAAAATAAAGCTAAAAATGTGTAGAGAGGTAATAAGTATTCACTGATAGACAGCTTAAAGTTTTCACAAACATTTGCAGGTGGCGCTACAGTACACCTGAGATGTGTAAAATGCAGCAGGACTAGAATGCGCTCAGTGCATTTAGCAACACATTTGTTAAGGGGGATTTTTGGCCCTTCTGGCAGAGATCATTTTCTTCACTTGAGGAGAAAGAGTAATGTTTGATGCGGTCTGAAAAACAAGCTTCCACAGGAATAGAACAGAAGCAGAGATCTGCGCGGATGTGTTTGTGTGCATGCTGGAAATACGAGCTGAACCAGTTCTAGTGCAGTAAAACAAAGTATGACAATCATCTGGAACATTCACCACCTAATAATTAAACTGAACGGCAGGGGAATATTTAAAGCACCACTCTTTCACTACAGACGCATTTATTCCCTTTTTTTCCACCCCTAGTGAATCACCGATGGGAGTGTTCAGAACATGTGGGGTTTCTTATTCTTTTAAAAGGAGCTTGCAGTACAGTAGATCATACTCTGTGCAAACAGGACCATAAAAAGCTGCATGCCATCGCTTTTGTTTAAACCACATCAAGGCAATGAGCCTGGCAGAATTCAGCCAGAAAAGTTTGTTGCGTCTGGGAGACCCTCTGCGTACGCACGACTCAAAGAGAGGGAGGGAGAATTAACAGCAGACACTCTGATACGGAGATAAACACACTCATCTATCTTATTGCAGAGCTGCTGCAGAGCGACGTAAACAGGCCGACCCAGATGACAGTGGGCTGCAAAGCTGTGACTCAGTACATGAGGCATGCAGAGACAGTGGATCGGTTACGCTTCGCCTCGACAGCAGAATGACTGGCGTTTTTATTAGAACATTCCACAAAGGACAAGCCCGACGAGCCCGCGACGGCTGCATGTGAAGCATTACAGGCATGAAGGGACTTTGAATCCAAATTTTAAGCTCTCTGCTTTTGCATCCGGTTCAGTTTATGATCGTTGCACAATAAGCGTTATTTTCTAATAAATCGACTGATTGACTATTGATCTTGCAGTGGAGAAATCTACTTGTTACATCAGCTCAAATAGTCAAAGAAGAAAAATGCTGCATGGTATATACAGTACATCCACATATGACAGCTTTTTTGTATAATGAATATATATTAATTAACTTTTATTATAAATAGATATCCTTTTATTCTGATTGATAATGTGGAGAAAAGTATTAATGGTATTCTCACATGAGTGACCCTCTGTCATGTCGGACAGCATGAACCATTAACTGATTGGCCGCATCATGTAGAAGCCAACATTGTAAACCCTTGATCCAGAACTATGACCCTATCTTAATACAACTAAAGCCAAGGGCGTAGCTTTGATTTCCACTTTGGTAGGGACACTACTGGTCCTAAGTTTCATTAATGTCATTTCACCTTTGAATAAATATGCATGCTTTTTTAAGCTTGACGTGAGCATCAGGGTGCATTTGGTTTAACGAGAAAAGCAGCTTTTCTTGCCACATTTCTACTAATTTTATTAGCACTACTCACACTAGATGTTGTTTATCAATGTTTGAAGCGTCACCGGCTCTGATGAATTAGGACTTTTTTCCACTTTGAAAAGGTTGAATTTAAACTTACCAGTGACTAAGACAGAAGGTAAATATGTGCCTATTTAACCAAATATAGTGTAAATATGCCCGTTATATGTGGATTTATCCTGTATTTTCTTTTGAAGATATATAATTGTGCAGAGGTAAACAGGTGAAACACTCTTAATTTTTAAAAGCTCTCTCTGTATCATGAACCAACGCAAAATGACACATTCAAGGGACGCAAATACATTTATTGTATTTACATCTAGTGGCATCATCTACAAAAAAACAACACTAAGAATGAAAGTAAATTTATTCTAATATAAAATCACTTTTAACAATTATTAAAACATATATATAACACCATTCCATGGTGAAGGCTCATTTCAAAGGTAACAGCCAGATTTCTGTACAGAACAAACAATTCATTTACAGCTGATAACTATAGAAAAGCATGGAATGGTGTTATTTCATTGGTTTTCTTTTTGATTTCAAAAATCTATTCTGTTGTTTTCCTCTGATGATGGAACAGGCTGGAGGCATGACTCAGAGTACGCTTCTACAATCCTATTTTACTCTGCTTTTCATCTAATTCATACTCCGGGGTCGTTCACCAATCTGTACAGCTCTGCAGGAAATCCGCTGCGTTGTGGTAACCATGAGTTTCTAGATAATTTGGCAGGAAGAAACATGGCTTTCATTTCCCTGCAGACAGAAAACCATTTGACCAGCCTGATGCCATCAAAGCTGGAAGTGAAAACGAAACACGCTGCTACACCTTTACAGTTCCTAAACTGGCACTTGCCTTAAGAAAAAAAATACTTGGAACTGCAAAAAACAAAGTTTACCCAGATTACTATAAAAACAGAACATAAAAAAAAACAGTATTAAGATGTGAAACTGAATCATTTATTTGTTTTGACCCCTTTAGGCATTTAGCACATAGCTCTGCCCATTTCCTTAAAAGGTTTTAATGAATTTGATTTAACCCTCCAATTAAAGCACCCACTACACTTTCTGAAGAGTGAAATCCTAAAGCAAATCCAATCTGCTAGCAATAAAACGAAAGTTACTACCGTAACTACGGTTCTATGAATCCCGGATGACCGCCAGAGGCGGTGCTTCAAGCACCGCCTCTGGCGGTCAGTAGGGATGAAATAGAACAGCTGCTCCAGCTTCCTGCTGCGCTGCAGAAAGCAGGGAGTTGTGTTGTGGTGGACGAGGCTGGCTGGGGTTTGGATCTGCAGCCGTCCCTCCATCCATTAGCCAGCTCTGAGGATGAGCCCTCTGCTGCCTAACACGGTGCAGCACTCAGGAGGGGAGAATCGCTTTTGGCTCGACGCCTTGGTGAGGAGGGTTGGGTGGGCCCATGCTTGATCTCTCCATTACCTCTACGTACCTTTAGGAGTTTATTTTCACGAGGGCAGATTGAAGAAAAGGTGGATGCAGAGGGAAGTTCAGGGTTTAGGAAAACAACTAAACTAAAGAAGCGGAATTTAATTATTATTGTAATAGAAAAGTGAGCAAGGTAAGAAGAGACATTAGCAAACTCCCACATACAGTCATCGCTGCATGAAGCTGTAACGGCCACATGGTTCGTATTTCAGCCAGCCAGTATGATATAGTTTACAAGTTTAATGCCGCACTGTATTTGCTTTAGGCGGCGGCCAATGCGTGTTTTCTTTAACTGATATGTCATCAAAATAAAGGAAAGCCATCAGGCCCCGTTTGGCTTGTTGAGTGTAAACACAGGGGCCCCAAGGCTCCTGACACGCCCCTCCCTCCATCCAGTTGCGGGCCGGGGTTGGTCAGGTGCTGTTAACTTTGGCTGCAGCTCCAAAAGTCAACACAATGGCTGCTGATAAGGAAAACGGATTGGCTGGAGGG